GCTGAAACACAAACCATTCCATTATGATATATCTGCTTTGTCTCCTTCAAGAAATCCACGATATCTAGTTGAAAGACAATTGTAAGATGTTCAGAAGTACATTTCCAGACGAGTGGACATAACTGAAAAACAGTGATCTCAAGTATTGGAACACGTTGCACCAACAATCAGGCCATTGCTCTAGTTTATTAGGAACTTACGAATCAGGCAGGAGCTTGTAAACATTTTAGATACATACAAGTGTAGATAGAGGTTATATTGTGGTAAGAGCTAGCTGCAAGCCAAAATTGTAGACACCAATTTACGTCAATGTTCACGTCCCGAATCAGGGTCATGAGAAAAACAATAACAAAGCTTAACCTTGAGGAACTCACTAACCAATCACAGTAGATTTAACGTGTGCAAACACGATTTGCAGATATGTGGCTAAACTTTCTAAGAAACGGTCACAAGCACTCCAGAATAACCTTCAGCAAGAAAACAACCAATCAGGAGATATTGCTTCTCTGCTGACAATAATGTACATAAAAGTCTATAAATATCTCTTGATTTTCTCAATAAGCGATTTGTTGCTTGGCCCTTAATCGATTAAAACAAACCGAATGAGAGAAAATAGGCGCAATAGAGAGAGATGGAAGTTTTTGGTCGCTCAAGTTTTAAGCAGGCCACCGTGGAACAATGAACGGCTCTTGAATTTTTGATGCTGTTTGCTGCTATGGTAACAAAGAAATAAAAAGTTTTTAAAAAAATGTGCAGTCACTTGATACAAACAGGCTTTAAGAAAATGACAGGTGTATGAATTAGGAGAACTGAAGTAATTTCACATGATTATCATTGGTCAACTACTCAAACTGTTTAAATATGCGAACATATTTTCTTCACTGTTGAGAAGAAAAGGAAGGCATGAATCCTTTTTTATGTCATAATGTTACATTCACTAATGTGAGCGTTAATTACGCTTGAGTGCAATTACACAGACTATTCATAAAACAAGATGATTTTGAACGAACAACTGTGGTCTTGAGAAATTCTTCCCTCCTCAGGCTCTACAGTTATGAATAGATGAATATGATTGCAATACAAATAGACATTAAAGGCATGTGAAAATTATATTGGAAACTGTCTATATTGGGGTACGAGTATAGGATGGAATGATAGTTCGTTAGTTAATATTTTCAGTTGAGTAGTGTATAAAAGATGTACAGTCACTTAGAACATAAGATAAAATGTGAATTAGTTGGAGGATTTCATCATGAGGTGACATCATTCAGAGAACCATTGGAAAGTCTGGGAGTACTGGAAAACTGTTTCTTCCCAGTTTGGCACTCTTCAGCAGTACGCACTCAGCCCGTCGGGGTTCGAACCCAGGACCTTCTGGTTACAAGGCGAGCTCGTAGACCCTTTAGCCACTGGGACCGAATCCAATTCTAACTCCTGCCAATTCGTTACATAGCGCAAACACTTCTCAATATCTTCTTTAATGAGTTACTGCCTCACCGTCAACCTGCTGTACCCTACTGGTCACCCTTCTTGAATAGGATCAGTCACTAATGAACATCAGATTAATTTTCAGGTATTGGCTGACGTCAGCTGATATCAGCTCATGATGAAATCCTCCAACCAACCGAACGAAATCCCTACAAAATCAATACTTGAAAACATGAAGTGACAAAAGGGTGGTATACTAATGCTTTTCTAACTTGTTATCGTATTTACAAAATCCTGTTCATTCCACTTCACTAAATTCATTATTATTATTATTATTTGACAATCGTTCACCAATAGTACTTTTAGGTTTACACCCCATCATGGTTATTATTATTTTACAAACATTCTTCTTGTCTTTTAAAACAGTTAGTTCCCTTTATGAATTTAGATAAAGCAATAAGAAGATATAATTTGTCTGAATCGTGATATGTAACTGCGCAACACATTTCAAACAATCTGATCACACACGGACTACTCGTAGGAATTTATATCAAATTAATAAAGAGTTAAGAGGGGAGAAAATAGACTTAGGTCAAGTTAAAAGGACATACTGAAGGTCAAAATAACCATGAAGACCAGTAAACCAACTAGCAGAGGTAATAGTACATCTGCTCTGGCTGGTATCAAAACAAAATTTGCCAAGGAGGGTTTAATGTGATGACGAATTGTTTTTGAACGCATAAAGGCGGTTTAAACTTACTAATTGTTAGGGCTTCCACAAACCTAAGGATACGCCCCAAACATGTTTTATAGATAGGTTTCAAAGATCTGTTAACGTCAATTTTGTGTCCTATCTCTATAATATGTTTCGCGATAGAGGAGCTAGGTCTCCTGTTCTCACCATTAATGGGTTCTGAAGATTCTATTTGTTTCTGGAGCCATTTAGGAATATGCTCTGAAGCCAGCCCTAACTTTCAGAGATCGATGAGTCCTCCCTATGTATGTGTGTCCACACGTACATTCAAACTAGTAAATACAGTGGGATGTGACATCATTTTTCGCAAAGTTCAACCTTGGACTTATGTCTAGCCCACCCCATTCGTTGGTTTATTTTCTGTAGTATTCAAACTGTCTCACACACACACACACCAGTGATTACAGTCACCCTCGAAACGTGTACTTTTGCTGACTATATATATCATTAAATTATTTCATCTCGTTTTATATCATGTTCCCATTGACCATGCATATTCAAAACTATGGTATGCGAGCTCGCCTTGTATCCAGAAGGCTCTCATTTTGAACCCCACTGGGTGCGCACAGCCGATGATTCCCAGACTAGGATGAAACAGCTATCCAGTACTCCATGGTTTTCAATGTTCTCTAAGTGATATCAATCCATAGTGAAACTCTTAAAAAATAACTGACTACTGTTCCATCCCATCTTACTTATACTTGTTCCACAATAAACATTTCTGATATGATTTTAATTTGCCTTTGCTGGCTAGCTATTGTATGCTTAAATTCATGGATTTGTAATTGTTGGTTCTCGGCTATAATTCTTTGAGTTTACGTGACGTTAAATATAAATCATTCGCGAAGTTCAAATTTTCTAGATTCTTCTTGCCACCCAAACGTATTCCTGTCCTGTCGCTGTCCATGTACAGTGTGCTACATAATCCTATCTACCACAGTTGAGAATATTAAAAGCCGTAGAAGGCATTCTTCTCTTACTTCTGTATTCAATTCAGACGCCTCACTGAGTTTTCCGTTGTTAACTCGTGGCATTGCCATATGACTGTTGAATGGGGCTAACAAAGATTTCGGGTACTCCGTATTGTGGAAGTAGTAGTTACCAAAGTGCTTCGCGGTCAGCACTGCTGAATTATACTATTATTATTGTTTCCTTGGGTTCCTAGTGGAAAATAGGGCTTCAACTACACGTCTCCACTTGCTTCTGTCTTCTGAAGTACTTTTCACTTACATCCATGCTAGTCCATACTGTTTCAACTCCTCTTCACACGATCTCCTCCGTGTCACCCTTGGACGTCCCACTCGCCGCTTCGCTTTCGGGTTCCACTCGAGCTATGGCCTGACACGCGATGTCACCCAGCGGCCTCCTCAGCTCAGCGAGTGTCCAATCTATCTCCACTTTCTCCTGCATATTTGTTGAGCGATTGGTTCCTGTTTTGTTTCTTCCCATAGTTTCTTGTTGGTGATTCTTTCCGGCCATCTGATCTTCAGTATAGAGCCAGCGAAGACAGTTGTTGATAAAGGTGTGCAACAGACTGTTGGAAATATTCTTTGTGACACACTGGCCAAGTTTCTGATCCGTATAGAAGAACTGACTGACTTGACGTTTCTAGTGAAAATCCGAATTTTGTTGTTGATGATGAGTTGAGTGACGAAGATTTCCAGATTGGTTTCAGGTTGATGAATGTGTTTCTCGCCTTCCCGATTCTCGCTCAATTTGACATGCTCGTCCGTTCCTCCTGTAGTTGAGACAATGCTCCCTAGATAAGTGAATGAAGTAACCTCTTTCAAATCCCTCCCGTTGATGGTGATTGGATGTTGCTGCTGCTGTTGTTGGTTGGTTTTTTCATAACCTCCGTCTTGTCTATGTTCACCTGGAGTCCTGTCTTCACTGCCTGCTTCTTTGACCAGTTTGTCGGTTTTTGCTTGTAAGTCTTCGATTTTGTGTGACATCAAACATAAATCATCCACGTGTGAAATCCAGGTCTTCTAGGTTCTTCACGTTGGTCCAGGATATCTCTGTCTTCTCGTTTCCCACTGTCTGAAGCATAATCCAGTCCACCACAATTAGGAATATCATTGGTGATAATAAGCACTCTTGTCTGACTCCTGTGTTTACTCCAAACGCTTCGCTGAGTTTTCCTTTGTGGATCACTTGACATGTGCCGTTATCGTACAGCTGTTGAATAAGGTTGATGAATATTTGGGGTACGCCGTAGTACTTGAGTAGTTTCCAAATTACTTTGCGGTCAACGCTGTCGAAGGCCTTCTCAAAGTCTATAAAGTTGAGGTAGAGGTTTGACTGCCATTCCATGCTTTGTTCGATGATGATGATGATGCGTGGAGTTACAATTTAATGCGCACATGATTTGCCTTTCTTGAGTCCAGTTTGTTCCGGTTGTTGTTCTAAATTTTAGTCGTAGAAGATTGTTTCTGCTTCCTCAAACGTAATTGTTGTTTTTTTTCACTTTTCTAAAGCATTCAGGATCAATAAGGTGAACTAATTTGCGCTAACACAAGCAAATTTCACTCTCATAGAGCACTTGAGCTTTAAAGTTTTACGGTATATGCAGTTAGGTTAGTAGAAAGCATTGAATCTACAAAATCTTTCCCCATTTCAAATAAATCTTCTTTGTTTATTCCTCAGTGAATTCACACCTTACTTTCATTGAACAAATTAATTCAGACCTGACAGTTTATCAGATACTCTGAACACTTAAATTTCCACTGAGAGCTCTTTTCATTAATTGTATAAAACTAATTATTTCCACCAAATAATTAATATTTTTACTTATTTTTATTTTATTTCACCGCTGAAGGTCAGTAAGATAAGCCTAGTCGATTTAGCTGGAAGTGAACGATCCGATGCAACAGGTGCAACTGATGTCCGATTGAAAGAAGGCGCGAACATTAATAAGTCTCTTACAACACTGGGGAAAGTTATAGCTGGATTAGCTGATATGGTAAGTTCAATTCAATAAAAATTGTTATAATCAGCAGTTTTGATATCACATGGAAATACTTCATCGTCATGGATAATACTTTGTGTGCAGGTTAAATCGAAAATATTCTATTGATAATATTTGAGTAGTATTTTGCCATCATGGTAAAGTATAGTTTCATCACGAAATAACCTTATTCGATAAACAACATATAGAAATACTAAAACAGTTAGTCCCTTGGATAAATTTGCATTAGGCATTAAGATGATAAATGTCCCGAAGTGATATTTTCATTTTGTAGTTTCTCTACAATCACTTTACAACTAACATGGTTCACAATAATGAAATAATATAAAATACATGACAACTACTCACTTATATAAAACAAAAGTACAATATTAGTGACTAATCATATTTAGGACATTCCATTGGTTCTACCTATATCAGTGTCACAGCAACCGCATTTGAACTTGTAGATACAGTTTGAAGTGGGGTCCACAGAATCTCGTCCTTTGATCGTAAGTAGAGGGATCGAAAGTGTTCAAGATGTGAGGGAAAGAGGTGTAGCGTCTAATGTGGACTTGATAGCTGACCGAAATCTTTGAGCTGTCAACTGCATAATCTGGTCACCCTTGAATGGTAGGTTAATAAAGATAGCTTTCTTTGGTAGAGAAGCTGTCTTTTCGAGATGTGATCTTTCTTTACTGTGACAAGTGATAAAGTTTTCCGGATAACCATTAGCTAATAAAACTGAATGTATATGTCGAAACTCATCCATCACTGTGTCACTCGTGCATATTTTTCGGGCCCTTGAGAACAAACATTTCACAAGGGAACGTTTATACTGGATAGAAACAAAACTGGTAAAATGAAGATATTGTCCACTCCGTTTCTGTTTACGAAATGCAGATTGCTTAATCGTTCCATCATCTTTCCTAGTCACTGAAAGAGCCAAGAAATAGAATTTGTTATTCCATTCGAACTCGGAAGTCCCCAGGATATCTGGGTGAATATGATTAAATAGAGTTTTATTAGATATTGTTTATCCAGAAAACTTCATCTTTTGTCACAACAAAGTTTCACTGTCAGTAATTTTTCTTCCATATTTCTAGTATTGTCCTTGAGTTATTTCCACTGAATGGGTCCCGTATAGATTCAGTAAACAAAGATTCTGTGACTAACTTCTCCCTCCAGATAGCTTTATTAATTTTTCAGAAATATAGAAAAGTAAGTAAACAAGCAAAGGGGATAGCAACTGATCGTCAAATCCCCGGTCATAGCAGATATTTTTATGAACAATTTGGAAAATATGGCTCTTAGAACACTTAACCCTACTTCACAGGTATGGCGGAAATTCACGTACGACACATTCACGGCTTTGCCTCACATATATTAAATCAGTTGCAGATGGAACTAAATTTATATTCAGGCCAGAAAATGAGCAAGGAGTGAATTAGCTATGTTAAATTGTAAATTGAAAATGACAGGATAAGGTATACACTTTAATACATATTTAAACTCCACTGCCTGTGAAGGCAGGCTTGGTTAAGTGTCTAACAAATCGGGCAATAACATTAATTAGTACATTAGAAAGCATAAAAAGTGAAATAATACGAACAGAAGAAACATCAGTTCTAAATAACTATCACTAGGAAGATTAAGAAAACTCACAATAAAAAATGCAGTGAAGAAACAGCAAAGACAAGACTCCAGGTGAACATAGAGAAGACGAAGGTGATGAAAATAACCAACCAGCAACAGCCAGTACCAATCACTATCAACTGGAGAAATTTGAGAGAGATTATTTCCTTCACTTATCTAGGGAACATCGTCTCAACCATAGGCACAAGACAGAGATGAGGATTTCAAAGCTAGAAGCGACTAAGCAAGGCACACTATCATCACCCTGAAATCAATTTGGAAACCTGCCATACTCAGGATACATAACAAGATTCACATTTGCAATACCAATATTAAGTCAGTCAGTTCTTCCATATGGGACAAAAGCTTGGCGCACTATGGAAAACATTTCCAGCAGATTGCAGATTTTTTTCAACGTCTGCCATCGTTAACTCTATACTGAAAATCAAAAGACCAGAAAGAGTTAGCGACAAAAACTCTGGGAACGAAGTAATCTAGAACCCATTGCTCAACACATGTGTACAGGAAAATGGAAATGGATCAGACATATGTTAAGGAGACTGTCGGCCAACGTCGCATGCCAGGCCATCGAGTGGGAGACGATGATTTCGGTGCAGGTCGAAGGGTGACATGGATGGGATCATTGAACTAGTTAGACAGGACCGTAAAGAATAGGAAAAAATGGAGATGTACTGTTGAATCCCTATGTTCCACTAGGAACCCAAGAGAACAGTGATCACTAAATAACAAAAAAAATAGTTTTTTTGAATATAGAAGTGACATCTGGAAACCTACACAGAATTCTTAATAAAACATTCATGGTTAGCTGAATTCACATAGTAATATGGGCAACGATAAGAATACTGTTTTCGCATCTTTGTTTTGCTATTTTGCTTCATAATTCCTTCATCGTCGATGCTATCTTCAAAGGCTTTACAGTCACATTTGTATTTACTAAAACGTATAACATCTAGTCATCGAGCAGCAGGGTACGTTACACAACCGACACAGTTACTCAGGAGCAGTTTCTAAGACAGAAAAAGATTACATAATGAACGCTGACAACTGCCGAAGTGAGCATTTGAAATTAAATGGAGTGGAACGTTCTTACGAGTTTGCCCACGGATTGTTATCAGTTAGAGAACCATTGAAAACCAACCAGAAAGTACTGGACAGCTGTTTTATTCTAGAGCGGGAATCATCGGCAGTTTACACCCTCTGCAGTTCGAACCCAGGACCTCTCGGTTACAAGCCAAGCTTGTATACCATTCAGCAACTGGGACCCGATTCAATAGCCAGTCCATGAATTCTAGCTTCTACCAATTCGTGAAAATTACTAATAAATGAGGAGCAAGTTGTACAGATTTGGAAGATGAATTCATTGATAAAGAAAGTTTTCTTCACAAAAATTAGAATTTTATTTATTTCTGTAAAACGTAACTACGGTATATATACATTAGATCATAGGAATCATTAAAAAAAGACGGTCACAGACAAGAAAATTTTCTTTCCGACGAAGTCATCAACTAGGCTGTTCATTCATGTATTGGTTTTGTAGGAATTTTGTTTGATTGGTTGGAGGATTTCATCATGAGCTGACAGCAGATTGAAGGTGAGGCAGTAACTCATGAAACGGCAGAATTTAGAATTCATGGGCCATTGCATCGGGTCCCAGTGGCTTAGTGGTCTATGAGCTCGCTGGCCTTGTAACCAGAAGGTCCTGGGTTCGAACCGTGACGGTGGGTGCATGCTACTGAGGAGTCCCAAACTAGGATGAAGCAGTTGTCCAGTACTGTCAGGTTTTCCAGTGGCTGTCTAACTGATGTCAGTCACCTCATGATGAAATCCTCCAACCTATTCTAGAATTGTTTCAGGTCAAAGGTCAAATTAATAAAAATTACAGTGTGTAATAATCAGGAAGATCTGGTAGAAAAGACAAAATGAGATTATAATTACTGGAAAACTCGTCAGTTTGTATAATTACGGATTAAGGACTTCGTATTAACAAAATAGGTAGGAATTTCGGACCCATAAAAAGAAATTAAAGACAGCAACCACATCTGGTAATGCAGACAGGAATTAAAAACATAAATATAACAGAAATAAGCGGGAAGGTTGGACAAGAAAGGCAACTGGATAATCATCAATTGGTGGGACTGACTTTTCATGATGACCACGGCAGGAACAACGGTTGAAGGTATGTCTTTTGAACAAGATGATCAGCCTATCTGGAAATTCACTGTAGGATAGACGAGAAGATTTCTCGATCTCCCCTTCCAGTTTCTTCTATCTCACAACTTTAGATTTATTTCACCTATGAGATCTCCTACACAGGAATGCTTTTTGTTTTTATAAGCATCTCAATACTTATATTGTAACTGAATAGCTTTCAAGCTTAAAAACAAAGCTTAGAGTGAGTAACAATTGAAAATAGGCTCCTCCATCTAAAAACTTAGTTGTTTACTAACAAGCTTGTAAACTGGAGTGTATTTAATTTTCTGCTTAAACGTCTACCGTTTTGTTTGTAAAACTTATCTATGCCAACAACAATTCCATAAAACGATTATCTCTAAGATTATAAAAATCTTTCAGAAGGAAAACAACTAAAGATGAGATAAAAATTGTACAATTTGAGATGAAGTTTGTTTGTACAAGGGAACAACATATGTCAATCTGTAATGTGGATGAGAAAATAAAAACCAAAAAATAATTTAGTACATAATAAACCAATTAGTGATGTGTACTCAAATAGAATAAATAGGAATAACAACAAAACAGTATTGCCAACTGACAAAGCCTCTCACGACTATGCTTATCCTCCCTCTCTCTGTTTACTGGTGAGCATAGAGTAGTTGTCAGATTGGATAAGCAATAACATCTATAGGGTTTATCAAATGATTGAGAGGATAAACTGTTCAGATTGATGTAATTTGATGAAGTTGTGTTTTTAGTTGAGAGTTTGAAGGTTGAAAATGAAGTAAGAATTGAAGATGTTGCCTTTTCTAGATGGACCATAAAAGCTTCTCATTTAGAGTTACTTATCCAGACTAGAGAAGATCAAAACAATTTCAATTCTGTCTTTCTACGGGCTAAATACAACTGTTCTCCTTTCAATACTTTCTGCTCTCTAAACTAAAAGAAAAATTAGAAGACTAGCCTGAGCCATTGAGAAAAACACTAATTTATTAGATTATAGGATTTGAGGATTAAGATTACTTCACGAACCAATATTAGTAAGAGAGATCATTGAAAACTAAGGAGTACTAAATACCTGTTTCGTCCCGTATCTGAACTCTTCATCAGTCCACTCATTGGTGGTTTCTAGTTGGCTGCCCTAAAGTTGTACTGGGACATTATGATTAGGTGCGTCTACTGCGTCAAGCCAAAATAAGTGCCCATCGAAGCTATTGGTTGAGGGTAGAGTTACACCAATTAAAGACGGAAGGTGGAATTCACGGGTTATTGAGTTCTAACCCAAGTGTCTAAGTGTTCAACGAGCTTTGTCTCAATCTTCTGTAGGGTCATGACTGGCCACTGATGAAGAGTCTAAGACTGGGACGAAACATCTGTCTAGTGCTCGCTAGTTCTCGGTGACCTGAAATTGATTCTTAACGATATTTAACAGCTGACATTGTTTTATTACATCACATTACTAGATAACTAGTTTGATGGGATGTATAACGTCGGGCATCTGATTGTCCAGTTATATTTGACAGAAATATTTACGCCAGTATATGGCTTCGACCTTCACAGGTTTGCGAAATACATCTATTTTAAGAAGGTGCAAAATGACTGTTTTCATCATATTTTTCAGAGTTCAAAACGCAGAAAGAAAGGAGATTTTATTCCGTACCGTGATTCTGTACTCACATGGCTGTTGAAAGAAAATCTTGGTAAGTGATTATATTTTCTAATCAGTCATTATGATTCATTATCAATAATATTATGTTCTCCTCATCGTACAGCTCGACTGCATTCATTTCATATATTGATTAATTTCAGGACGAATCATTCACTGCTACCTTCCTGTCTTCAATTTATCGCTCATCGAACACATTCTATAGTGCTCAGTCAGGTTCAAATGTTTTCAAGTGTTGGTCTGCAGGGTTTTATCATGAGCTGACATTGGTCAGAGAACCAGTGGAAAACCTGGGAGTATTTTACAGGTGTTTCGTGCTAGTTTGGGACTCTTTACAGTAGGCACCAATCACCAGAGGTCAAGCCCAGGACCTTCCGGTGCAAGGCAAGCTCGTAGACCATTAAGCCACTGAAGCCCAATCCAATGGTCCATGAATTCTAACCTCTTCTAATTCACGATATGGTGCGACCACTAGCCAATGTCATCGGCGAGGAATTTTCTCCTCCACCGTGTATAAATTCTATGATTACTAGTCATCCTTCTACCTGGTAATGACATTTAATTCATCAAGTTTTTCAAACATAGGTTATTTGTCTTGTCAGTTTGTGAACTGGAATTAATCTGTCTTTAAAGCTGTAATCCTATCAAACATTAGAAGGTATCCGGCTCATACCTGGCTATTTTAGCTATATTAATATAAAGTACCTTGTCATATAAAAGTTGGAACCCGAAGAGAATATTATTGTAAACAGTATTACTAGTTCTAATCGTATTAAAGTACAAGTGAGACTGTTCACACAAATACTGAATTGATTAGACGGAATACTGTGAAAATTATATATTTATATATAAACTTTAATCAAGATTTGGCCGAATAGTTCCACAAAAGCTGAGCGCTCAGTGAAAAGTAGACATATTTTAAAAAGCTTAATGGGCGACGAGCTCGCCTTGTAACCAGAGATTCCTGGGTTCGAACCCCTGTGGTGGATGCGTACTGTTGAAGAGTCCCAAACTAGAGCGAAACAGTTATCCAGTACTCCCTGCATGTTTTCCAATGGTTCGCTAACTTATGTCGGCTCATGATAAAACCCTCCGACCAATCAAAAATTAGATTTGCCTCCATTTTTTCGAAGTGGAAACAGGTAATTCCAAAGTTTCGTTCAGTAAACTGGTCTGAAATTCTTCAGGAAAATAATTAGAATTAAACCATCGAAGGTATATATTTAAGGGCACATCCTGTCTTTAAAATTCTTGTCCAGTCATGTCTGAGTCATGAATAGTCATCAAAAGAAAACTAAACAAAATTGCATGAACTATGATCAAAATTTATTTTGTTTTGAAAGCTATTCAAAGTGGGTTTATAAGGCTTCATGTTGCGTGGCTTATTTCACATAATATTTAGATTTCTGATATCATACCATCAATTGGTAAATTTATTATACGGTATTTAAATGGACGGCTTCAGAATTCTTATTAGCCTGTGACAGTAAAAACTACTTCATAGGTATACCTAGGCTTCATGCCTTAATACTTAGCACAGAACAGTATCTTAATTATCACAGTTTCTGTCCTTTTCGGCACAATACCCTGAAAACTCACTTGGTGATGAAGAAAGAAAAATTGACACAAATTTCCGGTTGATAATAATTATCCAGATAAGTTCATAAGGAGATATAAAGAGATTAGAACACCAAGACACATTCTACAACTTGCTACTAAGATAAACGTATATATCAGGCTATCCAATAAGGATGGTCATAGTAGCTTAGTAACTCTACAAAGATTGAACGATGGAGTTAAAGAGACTTTTATGCAGCTAAGGTCAGAATAATTGAGAATGTGAAGCCGATATATCCATCTAGGCCTTCAGAACATGCGAAAAATAATGTCACATCCCAGCGTATTCACTAATTTAAATGTATCTACGGACACAAATACATAGGGAAGACTCATCGATCTCTGTAAGTAACAGCTTCAGAGAATATTCCTAAATGGCTACTTCAGAAGCAAACAGAATCCCCAGAACCCATTAGTGGTGACAGCAGATGAGCCAGCTGTTCTATCGCGAAACATATTATGGAGACAGGACATAAAGTCGATGTTTACACGTCTTTTAAACCTATCTATAAAACGTGTTTGGGGCTTACCCTAAAGTTTGAGGAAGCCCTAGCTAGCAATTAGGAAGTTTAAACCACCCATTTATGCGTTTGAAGCAACAATTCGTCATCACTACTATTAGGTCTCTTATTTGGTTTAGTGATGTTCATTGTTATTTTGACCTTCATTATGTCCTTTTAATAGACTTAGGTCAACTAAGTCTATTTTTAACACACATATATTCCCATGACAAGTCTGTGTGTGATCAGACTGTTCGAAAAGTATTGCGCACATACATTACACGATTCAGACAAATTACGTCAAACGTTTTAAAAGGTACTAATTTTTTTCAAATATAAAGTTACATTTTTATAATTCTATTCTGCCATATGCTGCTTATTGCGTACGGAATTCTTCGTTTTTTCTGCTTTTTTTCTACTGGCGTAAATTTATAATGAGGATAGTGAGGCTATGTCATATCGAACATGAATACATAGGGAGTTTAAAGACGGGACGCAAATGAAGGATGAGCTAAATAGTTTTGCCATGTCTATATGTATTTATCAGTTCAACTGCACCTGCGGTGACAGTTATCTTGGGCGTACTAATAGACAACTTAGCCAACCAGTTACTACCGAACATCTCCCATCGTGGTTTGGCAAACGATAGACGAAAACAATCCGTAGCTCAATTTTGTCACATTTAGTTGGTAGTGGTTATGTAGAAGAGAAAACGGGAGCTTTCAAGGTAATTCATCGTATCCCTCCGAATGTTTCCAGTGGACTTCGTATTCGTCTACTGCACGCACACAGCTGAGGCGATAGGCATGCGAACTATTAAGCCTAAACTATGCATTCAAAAGAAGTTCGTACAGCCATTATCACCCCCTTTTTGGTCTATTAAGACTTAACCAACTGATGGATTCTACACTAGCCCTCACTCATATTTTCATTCCCTCTCCTATCATCCTTTAGTCTTATGACATCTTCATTAACACCTACTTTGTTTACCTCCCTTACAACCTATCATTACTTAATCGGTTCATTTGTTTTTCTCAGCCTTTATCGAATACTATATCTACCTAAACATTTGTTTATTTAATCATGCTGTTTCTCTTAATTCTTGTTATCAGTCTTATTACCTATAGACAAAACACCTTGATTGGTTTATATTTAAGAACACTATATTCAGCGAAGAGACTTTTCAACGAATTTATTATCAAGCTGTACAATCGTATATATATGGTTTTAAAAAAAAATTTATATCCGGTGAGGGAATTAGGTTCAAGGTGTGAATGCATAAAATAATAATAATAGTATGAAATGCAATTAAAATATTTGTGATTATAATCATAGTTTAATGTCAAGTGGCACAATAATTAATGTCGTATATAATAATACATAAGACGGGTGTATAGATTTTGGAAAGGGGTACATAATTAGACGAATATAAAATGTTACATAATATGGTGTGAAATTTGATAAGATAGAATCCAATATTGTAAAATTAAAAATATAAAAATTAATAATTTTGGGTTTAAAATGTCAAGTGGGTCAAGTGGGAAAGATTCAGAGTGAGAATAGTAATAATAATAATAATCGTAGTAATAAGGGAAGAGTACATAGAATAACTAAATAAACAAAATAAATAAATGTCTATCTCTCTACGGCCAAGGCAGAAGCAGGGATTGTACATACTTCTTTTGTACACAAAGGTCTGGCTTAAAGTCATGAATTGCCAAGGCCTCAGTTGTCTTTAGAAGTTTGTAACGAAGAAAACGCTGAAAGTTAGCATGGATTCTGTATATGATCTTAAAATCATGGTCAGGGTTGACTTTGTTATACAAATTATATATTAGAGTTAAGCCTGATGAGATCTAGTTGAAACTACAATATTGTTCGCTTAAATGTGTTGTTCTAAATTTTACTATGGGAATATTTAATATCTTTTACACATACTTTTGGTATTTTAATTTCGACTCTGTCTCTGAAGAAGTTCGGACTAGTTTACTGAACGAAATACTGGAGTTATTTATTTCAGTTTCTCTAAGATTTGTAGAAATTGTATGGAGGATTTCATCATGAGCTGACATCAGTTAGAGAACCACTGGAAATCCTGGAAGTACTGGACATCTGTTTCGTCCTAGTTTGGGACTCTTCAGCAGTACGCGCCCACCGGGATTCTAACCCAGGACCTTCTGGTTACAAGGCGAGCTCGTAGACCATTGAGCCACTGGGACCTGATCCAATGGTCCTTGAATTCTAACTTCTGCCAATTCACGGCATAGCGCGACCATTTCGCAATGTCTTCTTAGATGAGTTACTGTCACATCTTCAACCTGCTGTACCCTACTGGTCACGGCTTCCCACTAGAACCCCAGGTTAACTGCCTGAATAGAAATATAATTTTTAGATAAAACTTTGATTCACATTTATGTGGAACGGATTTTTTTATTTCCCAATGAATGAAAAACAAAACGATATTGCGGTTTTTTCTGACGTTACGCTATCTTATGCTGCTAATAGTTTTACCAGAGTAGTTATATTAAACCATAATTTACAAAATCTCAGCTTATATTACATAACTACTTAATCATCGGTCATCGGCATGGGGTCATTTTAACGTTGTGAATTTCTCCAAGGTAACAAAACCAACTGTGGATTGTTGGATTTGATAAAAGAGTATGAAATTATAAAAAGCAGTGTGTTTAAATAATGGGATTGCTTATCACATTTATGTTGATTGCTTCATTTCATGGGGGATGGGAATGTTGTTACCAGGTCAAATTCTGTCTTAGTCCATCATTCCTATTCAAACAATTTGGATTCCACTTGATATGAAGTGCTTCTGATGATTTCTGAAGTTTTTCTGGATGACGTTGTTGGATGATGTTGTCAAAATCAATTTCGTGACGTGATTCTATAGCGTGGTGATCACATGTGGCTGATGATTTTTCAAGCTTTTCTAGCTAAACTGGATTTCTCAGTGGTTGGTCTAACAGATGCTCTATGGTGTTCATTTCTTCTAATTTTGATTTCTCGTGATGTCTGTCCGATATATATTGCATCACATTCCAAGCATTTTATTTTACAGAAACAATTAGATCGAGAATCTTTAGGGATCCGTTCTGTTATATAGACAAGGTTGCTTCGCAGTGTGCCTGATGTTTTGAATAACACTCTGATGTCTTACTTATTGAGTACTCTTCTGATATCGTCTGATGTTTCTGATCTATATAGAATGACAACTGTTGAGACCCATGTTTTCGGAATACACTTTCGACCATATTTAATATCAGTAATGATTTCGCTGAAGAAGTTCTCTGGGTAGTTATTTTGCTTGAAAGTCTCAGTAATGTTTGATATTTCTTCTTCTTTTTCTTTCTCATTCGTTATTAAAGAGTGTGCTTGTCTAGGAAGACTTGAAACAACTGATACCTCTGGGCTGATGGGGTGTGAGGATGCCAAGTCTAAATATTTATTGGAGTGGGTTTTCTTCCTGAATATAGATATACTAAAATGTTCGTTTTGCCTCCTCTTAACTAGGCAGTCTAGAAATGTTAGTTCACCGACGCTCTTAGCATTAAACAGCGAAACGTCATTAAAAACAATATCGTTTTGTTTTTCATTCATTGGGAAATACAAAAAAGCTGTATTATAATGAATATCATATACCCAATGCCCATTTTTTTTCAAACTGTTTGGTTTCGACACATATAATAAATGGAACGGAGTCCATTGCTTCGTGTCTTGAAGTCGCCCCTGGTTTTTATTTCACTATTGGTCACTATTACTAGACAACCAATCCAAGGCGGTTTCTGATAATCTCACCAACTCTTCAATAACCTCATGTACCAATTTTTGTGTGTTGGAAGTTAGTTGATTGGCCGAGTGTGACTGCTTCATAGAACAAACTGACAGCCCTAATCATAAAATTGTACAAAATAAGTGTGATGGGACACATTTTTTCATACAAAAAAAATCAAAAATGTGATTCATTCAACCAATCACAGACATTTGCGTCGGGTGAAATCTCTCTCACCTAACACCAATTCAAAAATAACATTTTTTTTACTATAGGAAACCGAAAAATCCTAGTGAACATCTAGATTTTGATTCATCTCATCCAGAATTGGTAAAGGTAAGTTTAGTTGAGTAGTGTCCAAATAATCGGATCAGGGGCTTAATAGTAGGTCAGAAGATTTAAATAATGAAATCAAACGAAAAAGGGAAACATAACTGGTGGATAACTACTCACCATAATTTGTTCAGTAATGTATGAAGATCTGTAAAGAAAATAAGACTATTAGTGCAGATAATTAAAGGCAAATAAAGGTCCTGGTTTCGAAAGCCAGTGGGTGCTTACTGCCGATGAGTTCCTGACTAGGACGAAACAGATGTTCGGTACTCCCTGGATAGTAGTTTTCAATGGTTCTCTAACTGGTTTCAATCTGTAGTCAAACTTGAGAATAAATCAACTCCCTACAAACCAACTCACTAGACTTCTGTTTCTTCCAAGTTGGAAGATCTTCAGTGGTGAATACTCGTAGAATAAACTGAAGTGTATCAGAATCTTAGCTGGTTTTAGCTCAGTTTTGATTTTCCCATTGACTGATTGAATCGGAACAAGTAGTATTTGATACCTGTTGCACAACAGACGGCTCTCATCGTCCAAGTGGGCCAATGGATAAAGCTTTGGCGTTTGAAACGATGGACACGGGGTTCGAGCTGTAGTGGGATCACAGTTACTCACTTCAGTCAAATTCACAATTTGCAAATTGACTAAGAATTTTCAACTTACACAGTTCCAGGAGGTGATGTTTCACCTCAATTTTCTTTGAAAAAGAAATCATTTCGATCACAATATGCTGCTTGCTTGATAACACGAATGGTGATTCCTCAATTGGAAGATGAAGTACCTAGACTAGCCACATCTTCTTCTTGTATTCACCAGTTCAAATGGGCTTGTAGAGTAAGCTATATTGGCTGTTGATCGATATTAGACTACGTGGTCCAAACCGGCCACAAAGCTAGTTAGCATTGAAGAGTCCTTCTGCAGCATCTATCGGGTACCAAACAAATTGCCAAAATCATCCAGGTACCGCATACTCAAAACAGTAGAGGATATCGCTATTCTCCTGAAACAACCAGTACTCTGTGTGCAGAAGAAGGATGTCCAGCCAGCCACTACTACTGCCCTAGCCGACCTTCAATAGAGACTATATACTCATGAATTTTAGAATCATCTTTCTTAATTTTTCTGATATTCAGTGTATTGTTATGTTGTTGATGCTATCCAACTCTAATCCATTGATATTATTACTGATTCGATTTTATTTAAACAACATTAATGTTGTTGGTTATAATACTAATTCATTCACTATTATGGATGCATATAACTGTAGAACCTGATGAAGAAGAGGTTATCGAGAAGAATATTCTCTATTCAGTAACCATACTACTGATTGATTGAGATTAGGAGTATTAGATAGTTGGAGGCAATCGTCAGGAAGCCTTGCTTGACCTAGGTTTCGTGCTAGTTGGCACTCACCAGTCATCAAGGCGTATCTGCAACCTTGAAGGAACTCATGTCCCTTCTGAGATTTGAACCCACGTCACCCAGTGAGTGCTGCAGTCAGAGACGTTACCACTGAGCTATTTGGGCTCACGATTGACCTCCTATAGGACTGTAGTGGATATTTTGATTGGACACTAGTAACTAGTGTGATGCGTCCAGTCCTTTGTTTGGTGCAGACTGAATTCTATCAGTCAGGTTTGCAATGTGGCCACCATTCTAGGTAGCTCACCATTACAGTGCACATTGATTTGATGATATTAGATGGTCGGAGGCCATCGTGAGGAAGTCAGTCACTGGGAATGCAAGTATACTGACTTAAAAGTGGCATTTTCTTATTTCTTTTTTTATTTACAGGTGGTAATTCACGTACGACAATGATTGCAGCTTTATCGCCAGCTGATGTCAATTTCGATGAAACTTTGTCAACTCTACGTTATGCCGATCGAGCGAAAAGTATCGTCTGCAAAGCTGTTATCAATGAAGATCCTACAGCTGTTCTAATAAGAGAATTAAAAGCAGAAGTTGCACGTTTAAAACAAATTCTTAAATTAGAAGAAGAAGGTCAAATGAGAAAATGTAAGAGTTTGTTTTATCACTCTATCGATTATTTAACTTTATTTTATCATTTAATTGGTGGATGGTGACTAGCAGTGGAATCCAGGATGCGCATTTCGTCCTATTCGGGACTCGATGTCAGCTGGATGTACCTGCATTCCCCAGTGAGTGGTGATGTTCCCAACGAGAAATCATCACTCACTGGGGAATGTAGGTACATCCAGCTGACGTCGAGTCCCAAATAGAACGAAATGCGTATCCTACTGGATTCCACTGTTAGTCACCACCCATCAGTTAAATTCTAATTACATGCCCAGACATCGTTGATGCATCTGCACAAGAAGTCGAAATGTCAACTTGAGACCAAGCACTTCGATTCAACCATTCGACAGGGAAAATCCGAAATTCAATTCAACATTTTATCATTTGTTTGAAAGACTTAGTGATGGGCTTAACCGAGTAGATAAGATTGACATAAAGACATTTTGTCTTATTGGATTTGAAACTTGGTTATCCGGTCAGTTCATGGTTGATCGCATAAATAGTGGGACTTAAAATGTTACTAGATGGACTGATGAACTCTAGCTTAATTTTTTTCATTGCCTCAGTGTATAATCTGTGAAAGCGGACGAATCTCTTCACAGTCGGTTGCTTTCCTCTGTAACTGCTAATCTGAATTCAACTTACTATGGCTATTATCTCTTGATCTGGAACAATCATAACCACCTTTGTCACTCAAGTAAAATATCCCATATATGAACTTAAAATATTGTCATTTTGATTAGAATTAAAGGTGTCTAACTTCACACTAAAGATGTTATCTTGAGGGACGCTGAAAGCTTCAGAATTAGATTACCCAGATAAGAGACTACAACCTTACCAAAAAATAAATAGGATGGCAAGTTCAGAACTGAAATTGTTGTGTGTTGTTTATAAAACACACCTAACTATTCGAAACAGTTTACAGAAAACTGAAGGTACTCACTGAGTTATAAAGAGAATAAAAGGCGATTCAGACAGGAGAATTTTCGTTATCGACAAAGTTGTCTTCAGAGGCTAAAGAACCGTATTTATATTTACCAGAAACAGGATAGTAGTCTACTGCTGAGTAAGATTATCTACAAGGTGAAACCGAATGGTACATAGGGTTCTGGGTTTCGAAACTGGTCTATGGCCAAGGCAGTGGCGATTCACCAATGTGACCAACAGCTCTGTGTGCAAATAGAGTTGATCAGTCTCTTCTCCACCAAGATCTCTTCTCTGATCGCCCAGTTCTACTCTTAATAATTAATTCCCTATTATCACTTCAACATGTTCAACATTTTGTACGTTTTACTCAGGATTCTGTCTTCTCACCATCTTCACACTTATCAAGCGGACATTCAGCTACCTGAATTCTCACTGAATAGCAATTTTCACCTTATCAAATCCCTAACCCTAAATTCCACTAATCAAATTTTTGATTTGAAAATTAGTTCTCAGTTTTGCATATTGACTTGCAATTTAAACAGGTCGATGGGATTATTTTACCACAGTTTCTGTTGGAAACCGAGATTGAACTGATTTGGCTCCGTATGCTGAGTCGATCCAGGATAATATGATACCAAGCAGATCATATACAGTGATCTGAATCATCTGTGTCCAAAGAAAACTTTGATGAAATAATCACCTCGACCTGTGTAGATTGTGAACTTGTGGCGAGAGCTAGCTGTAAGCCAAAAATTGTAGACAACAATTTACGTCAGTGTTCACGTCCCGAATCGGGGTCATGAGAAGAAACAATAACAAAGCTTAACCCTGAGGAACTCACCAACCAATCACAGCAGACTCAACGTGTGCAAATACGATTCGCAGATATATGGCCTTACTTTCTGAGAAACGGTCACAAGCAGTACAGAATAACCTTCAGCAAGAAAACAACCAATCAGAAGATGTCACTTCTCTGCTAACAATAAGGCTAATAATAATGTACATAAAAATCTATAAATATCTCTTGATTTTCTCAAAAAATGATCTGTTGCCTGGTCCTTGTCTTCTGTCGTTACAAACTAATTTGCAAATCACAAATGATTACTGGAATTTAGGATTTGAGAAGTCAAGCAGATGAATGTTTACTTGACAAGCGTGAGGATGGTGAGAAAACAAAACCTTGAATAACATGTACAAAAGGGAACATGTAAGAATCAAAATAGTGAATTAATTACTAAAATTAAAAGCCACCGTTTGGAGAAGAAACTAAACAAACCTTTCCAGCACACACATTTCGGGGTTATACTGATGAATCGCCAGTGTCTCCTGCATACACAAGTGCCGAAATCTAACACTCCTGACACCATTCCGTCTCACCTTGTAGATAATCTTAAAAGGCAATTTTTGTGGAGCTACGTTTCTTATTCATGTATTGATCAGATCGCCACATTACGGATCATCATTGAACAAAGCTTGGAATGGCAGTCACCTCTCTATCTCAACTTCATCGACTTTGAAAAGGCCTTCGACAGCGTCGATCGAGAGGTGCTTTGGTAACTACTTCGCTACTACGGGGTGCCACCGACAATTATACATCTCATCCAACAGCTGTACGACAATGCTGCATGCCAAGTAATCCACAACGGGAAACTCACGGAATCCTTTGAAGAAGTGAAGACGGGAGTAAGACAAGCTGGCTGCCTACTATCGCCAATGATTTTCCTGATTGCAGTAGATTGGATAATGCGACAGACAGCGGGGAATGAGGAAACAGGCATAATATGGACTCACACAAAAAACTTGGAGGATCTGGACTTCGCCGATGATATATGTCTGATTTCCCACAAACTGGAAGATATGCAAATGAAAAGCAACAAGTTGACAGAAGAAGCATCCAGTGAAGATAGGACTTCAGGTGAACATAGAGAAGACAGAGGTAATGAAGATTCCTGGGCAACACCACCAACAGCAACAACAACAACAGACAACAATCAGCATAAATGGGAGGAACCTGAAAGAAACAACCTCCTTTACCTACCGACCTGGGAAGCATCGTTTCAACTACAGGCGGAACTGACGAGGATATCAAAGCAAGAATCGGAAAAGCAAGACAAGCTTTCACTACTCTCAAGTCTGTGTGGAGGTCAACAGCACTCAGCATCAAAAATAAGACCCGGATTTTCAACTCCAATGTGATAGTCAGTGCTACTATACGGATGGATCAGAGACTTGCACTGCGCGTCATAAAGAGCATCTCAAACAAACTACAGACCTTCATTAACAGTTGTCTTCGCTCAATAATCAAGATCAGTGGGCTGGCCAGAAAAGATCAGCAACAGGGATCTCTGGCAATGAGCGAACCAACTCAGCAGGAACCGATTGTGAAACAAATAGGCAGGAAGAAATGGAGATTGGATTGGTCATACTCTGAGGAAACCATCAAGTGACATCACTAGACAAGCCCTCGAGTGGAACCCGAAAGGGAAGCGGCGAGTTGGTCGTCAGTGCAAGGGTGACTTGGAGGAGGTCATGTGAAGAGGAGATGAAAACGTGTGGGCAGACTTGGAGCCAGATGAAGACTCTAGCAGAGAACCGAACGCAATGGAGACGCACAGCTGAAGCCCTATGTTCCTCTAGGAATTAAAGGAATCAATAATATAATAATAATATACGTTTCTTATGTCCTCCAGGTGCTTGAGAATCAGACTAGTAATTGCCTTGCTCTACCGGATAGTGTCTGCAGACATGTGTTTAGAAAGTCTGAGCTTTGTACGCCCAATATAACTATCTCCACAAAAGCAAATGAATTTATAAACAAACATTGAAGTAGTCCAAAGAGGCAGTTTATCTTTCACACATCCACTGAACATTTGTCAACTGTAGAAATCGATCGCTGCGGAAGTTATTCATTTGTTCTTTTTTTTCCCATCTGGCTTTAAGATATAATTAAGCACGCTGAAATAGTTAGTATGCCAAAACAGCTAACTCATGCATATTTTATCAACGTGATCTGGGTTGTTCATATAAGACAGTATGTCTAGGCTATCCAAGTACAGAAATATCTTTGTCCAAATTCTGGGTCATTCATTTTTCGACAGCCAATTTATTATTATTGATGTATGAAAAAGCAGCATTTTATCTGTGCAAAAACACAATTTATACTTATGTCACACAGAAGTGAAAAAAATAATCCCGTTGATGATATTTTTGAATAATAATAATATGTCCATTCTTTTATCATTCAAACCTATTGAAGAGAGAACAAGACAGGTTGGAGTAGATTGAGACAAAGTGATATTGACACTAGGAAAATTATACATCATGCATTAATTATAAGCAATTCGATATTTTGTAGGCTTTTTTCCTTATTATCTATTGACTTCTGTTCACATCTTCAACCTTCTTCAACCTGCCTTTCTTCTGCAGTGAGTTTCTTTTCTAAATGGCAAACAAATTATCATTGCATATCTGAAGACACAACTCTGTTGACTACTTATATTTATTCATAAGTAACATATGCAATAATAAGAGATCTGCATCACTCCAAAACTGTAGGAATTTGAATTTCAGTCGATTAAAGATCCTTTTTATGTACGCATGATGTTTTCCTATCCTTCGTTCAAACAGATATTACTTTGGTTAAAGGATTTCATAATGAGCTGTAACCAGAAGTTCCTGGGTTCGAACCTCCGTAGGTGGCTGCGTACTGACGAAGAGTCCCTACCACTAGGACGAAACAGCTGTCTAATACTCCCTGCGGCTTTTCAATGGTTCTTCTCTAACCAATGTCAGCTCAAGATGAAATCCTGTAACCAGTCATGCAAATCCCTACAAACCAATACTTGATATTACTTTATTTTTGTAACAGACCTTGATCTAATAGTTTTTCCTAAAAGCATTTAACGTATTTATCTTTTTTTTCTAGCTTCTACTGTCTCTATAGCAACCTTGACACATCAACAATCTTTAGAAGATTGTACGTATGGCGAAGAAACAACTTTGGAAGCATTAAAAGCCTCTGAAAAGTTGATTGCTGAATTAAATGAAACTATGGAATTCAAGCTGAGAAAAGCAGAGAAACTTCGAGAACAGAGGTTAGTTCAAATGTAGCTTTTTATTGTTGTCTGATTTTATTAGAACATAAAGGAAGTTTCAAATGAGAGTAACCACTACAGTTACACTATTATTCATTCCCTTGGGTTCCGAGTGGAACATAGGGATTCAGCAGAACATTTCCACGTTATCTTATTCCATGTAATCATCTTCAGCTGGCTCGGAGATTGCCCATATGCTTTCACATCCTCCTCGAACGATCTGCTTGCTCCAGGTCACACTTCAACAAATGTCCATCTAGTCTTTTCCGAATTGAGTTTTATTTGACGAACTGCCTCGCATGTGATGTCATTTAACGGTTTCGTCAGCATGTGTCAAAGCCATCTCCAATTCTTTGGGCATACTTTTAGGATTGTAGGTTCCTGTCTAGTTCGTTCCCAGAGTTCTGTATCGCTAATCCTTTCATTCCCGCCAGATGATCTTTAGCATAGAAACACCTAAGGTAACTGTTAGTAGAAGTCTGCATCCTACTGGAAATGCTTTCTGTGATGAGCGCCATGTCTGTGAACCGTATAGAAGTTCTGATTTGGCATCTGGTTCTTGTTCTGTATACTGAGTACATCGGATCTGCAGACTGTTTTTAGATTGTTGAAGGTTTGTCTCACTTTTCGGATCCTTCTTTTGACATTCTACAATTACTTTAAATTTCCCTTGTTGATTGTGATAGCTTAAAGTTGTTGTCGGCTAGATATCCCTACCATCTCTGTCTTCTCCATGTTGGTTTGAAGTCCTGTCTTCACTGCCTCTTCCGGCAAAGTTTTGGTTTCTGCCTGTCGATCTTTGAGCTTGTGTGACATCAGGCATAAACCATTCATGAAATCCACATCGTCTAGAGTCTTCTTGTCGGACAGCGTTTCTCCGTATTCCTGCTACTCAAGGTTTGTATGTGATTGAGTCCATTGCAGTCAGAAATATTATCGGTGATAGTAGGCAGCCTTATCTTACCGTTAACAGAGACATAACTGCTTTGGATATTAAAACAACATAAATAGCAGTTTTCAAGTCACAACAATGAGACGAATAACTCTGAAAATAGATCGTTCAACTTTATCTATCTATGGTAGTCCAGTGCATCTAATAATGTCACTGTCAGACAAAGAGTATGCGATGAACAGATCCTCACTATGATATCTTTTACAACTCTATTGATAAAAACATATGAAAATATTTTGAGTTTTCGAGCGGAACTTCGCGTTCATACGAGTTCGTTAAATTTGGGCTTTAATAACTTGAGTATACGCTCTAAAATTTTCTATATTTCCTTCCATAAGGCTTGATTCCAACGAAGAAAAATAGAATTCCTGATGTATCAGTACGCGACAAGAGTCAAGGCTTCCTAATTAACTGGGCATTACCTGACATATACTGCAATTCTTCTGTGATTGATGAACTTCAAAGTCATCAAATGTCAGCTTATGATAAAGATGTATCAGTAGCCAAAGGCATATGAAAGTTGTAAAATTTTCTCCATATCACGAAAAGGGATTGTCTCGTTAAAGAAAGATTCCTGAATGTTGGGAAAATCGATGAATGTCCAACAAAAAACAGGTTGATCACAAGCTGATATTAGATAAGGAACCACTGAAAAGCCAAAGGGTACTGAATAGTTATTTCGTCCTAGTTTGGGACTCCTCATCAGTGCACACCCTCCGGAGTGCGGATCCAGGACACTCAACCACTAGGACCCGATCCAGTGAATTCCAACTCCTGCCATTTCTCGGGTTCTACTAAATGAGGTAAGAGGACAACTACTCGCCCATCATACCGGCTGGGGATTGCGCTATATACCGCAAATTGACAGACGTTGGAGTACATGGGACATTGGATTGGATCTCAGCGGTTGAATGGTCTACGAGCTCACCTTATAACGGGAAGGTCCTGAGTTTGAACCCCCTCGGGTGTATTACGCTGAAGAGTACCAAACTAGGACGCGATAGATGTCTTGTACTTTCTGGTGTTCTACTGGTTCTCTAACTGTTGGCAGTTCATGATCAAACCTATAGCCAGTCAAACCCAAACAAACTGAGATCCTCCAACAATAGTCTTCTGATACACCACAGTATGTAACTTCGAGCTGTTTTGACTTATGTGTCGGTTGAATTCGCCATCGCATATTTGTTCCTGGATTATATCAATGCTTTCTTTTATTGATAAGAGCTGTGACTTCTGATATATTACATCCTGTTTATTATCGCTTTTCAGAGAAAATGAACTTATGGAAATGGGAATTGCTATTCGTGGTGATGGTGGTGTCCAAGGCGTCTTCTCGCCTAAAAAAGTAAGTCGGTGGAAATCATTTTGATGAATTTTATGTTCATATTTGGTGCTCCCAGTAAGTCTTGTAGATGCACTGACTGTTTTAATTTATTATTGTAAAGGAAAAAGTGGGAACTAACGTTTACTGATAATCTTATTAGAGTATTTGCAGTCATTTAGGAATTAGGGAATCAGTCAACTGACTTTACTAGAGACACTTTGAGTGTCGTGCTTTAAAACTGTTAGGCATTTGACAACTTTTCAACGGAGCAGTTGTATATGTGAGGTTTTTGGCTTGCTATTATTATTATTGTTCCCTTGGGTTCCTAGTGGAACATAGGGCTTCAACTACACGTATCCACTTACTTCTGTCTTCTGTTGTACTTTTCACTTGCATCCATGTTAGTGCATACTGTTACAATTCCTCATCACACGATCTCCTCCATGTCACACTTAGACGTCCCACTCGTCGCTTCCCATTTCGGGTTCCACTCCAGCTATGGCCTGACGCGCGATGTCACCCAACGGCCTCCTCAGCGAGTGTCCAATCCATCTCCACTTTCGCCTGCATATTTGTTGGGCGATTGGTTCTTGTTTTGTTTCTTCCCATAGTTTCTTGTTTGTGATTCTTTCCGGCCATTTGATCTTCAGTATAGAGCGAAGGCAGTTGTTGATAGAGGTCTGCAACAGGTAGTTGGAAATATTCTTTGTGACCCACTGGCCAAGTTTCTGATCCGTATAGAAGAACTAACTGACTTGACGTCGTTTGTATTGAAAATCCGAATTTTGTTGTTGATGCTGAATTGAGGGACGAAGATTTCCAGATTGGTTTCAGGTTGATGAATGTGTTTCTCGCCTTTCCGATTCTCGATTTGACATCCTCGTTGTCCGTTCTTCCTGTAGTTGAGACAATGCTCCCTAGATAAGTAAATGAAGTAGCCGCTTTCAAATCCATCCCGTTGATGGTGATTGGCGCTGGATGTTGCTGCTGTTGTTGTTGCTGTTGGTTGGTTATTTTTATTAGCTTGTAATCTTGAATAATTGCACCTAGTATGTATTCTGCCATATCGGTTACACTTTTCGATAGGGAATAGACAGCCCCACCTCTTTGGAACGCTTTTTGCTTTCTTGTTATGCACTACCATCAATGAGGTTGAAAATAGTTTAGAGTAAGAACAGGAACCAAGCGATTTGGTAGGATATAACACCATATATGATTAGTTTGTTTCATATAACACAGTTGTACAGATAGTAATGTCATCGGTTGGACTTCTATAACGCAATTTGTTGTTCACAACCAGATCACAGTAGTCATTCTGCTGCTTCGTCATTTCTGTTTCATTTAGTTAGGGTTGACTGGATGGGCGAGGATTCACTGATCAACATTTCTATATAATCAAGTGACTTTTCAAGGCGCTTACCCACTTTCACCCTGTTTGACTGACTGACTGACCGTTTTCAACATAGAACTTTGCATCGATGTGTAACAGTTCGAGTTATCACACTCCATGTAGCACACAAAGCTAGAGAAGAAAGTACAAGGAAATGCAAAACAGGGACAGTAAACAGATATATAAAGCAAAAAGAATAGTAATATCGAAGAACAATATAGTTTTATTGGAGATTATAAGTCACAAGGAGTGGATGCATCTGCTCCATTGAGAACGATTTTGAGCCATATCACCGACTGTCTCCAGCCATTGGTTCCTACCGTCCCGAGGACCCCAACCAGGACGTCTGCACCTCTATACGTGGCTTAAAGTAACTGTTGTGGATTTCACTGTCTGATGAAGCCATGTTTTGGTTTGACCACCACTGGCTCTTTTCCAGTCTGACCCTATGTCAGCTAGCATTACCCGTTGAGGAAGGCGATGGCTAGGCTAAGCATGCGTAACACATATCCTAACCATCTCAGTTGATGTAGCTTCACAGCCTCGTCGATTGATTTCCCCTCCTTACCTAGCAAGTTTCACCCTGTTGTGTAAATGTATGACGGTAAATGCATAGCAGTGGTTGAAATTTTTGCAGATTACTTCGCAGGATCTATCATTCTAGATTTAGCTAAACTTCAATGTTCGGGTAACCCAACTAATCGTGATCTACTGTTTTGATTTAAGTATTCGACCTCACAGCTGCTACTCGGTAGTTTAGTTACCTAAACTATTACGTCCCTAAGGCTAGTGAGGTTGTAGTTGGAAATGCCACTCTTATATATATTAAAAATCTAGTGATGGATGTTTCAATGAATTTCCCAAACTTATCTAATAGTGTTTATCCAATGAAAGTTACAGTTCCTTCACTTCCTTTCAGTCGCATAGTAGATACCAAAATATCTTGATAAAGATAAGAAATCAAAGGAATATACAGGAATAGGTATTCGCATTTCAAGATTCCCACCAGAAAATGTGTTTCACGGGAACATTATGAACATTTTTTGCAGTCTAGCTGTAGTATGTTCAAGATTGTTATCAGGGCGACCAAAAAAGTAGACAGGATTTCATCATGAGGTGGAGAACCTTAGAGTACTGGACAGCTGTTTCTGTCGTCCTAACTCAAGACTCTTCAGCAGAACACACACCACCAGGGTTCGAATCCGGGATCCTCCCGTGCTAGGCGAGCTCGTAGCCCATTAAGTCACTGGGACCCAATTTAACGGCCCATGAATTCCAATTTCTGTCAATTCATGATTTAGCGCGACCATTAGTTAATGTCACCGGCGAGTATTTGTCCTTACACTCGACTTGCTGTACCCCCAACGGTCACGACTTCTCACTAAAACTCAGGTATCTACCTACCTAACCAGTCGCTGGTGAACATCAGACATGAGTTCCAATATAAAGTGGTTTAGGCCAATGAAACCTACTGATCTACGAGTGTGATTACTGGGTTACTGTTGACATTTTTCAGTATGAATAACGCCAATTTTATTCATTCTTATTTTAGACACCACATCTTGTCAATCTTAATGAAGATCCAGCCATGTCAGAATGTCTCATATACTACCTTAAGGAGGGTAAAACTGTGTAAGTTTTCAACATACTTGTCAACAATTCTATTTCTCTATGTTTTACTATTAAATTAGGTGTAGGTTTATTTGTTTTCCATGACAGAAAATAGAAACGTTAATTCACATAACCTGACGGAATCAACGATTCTTAATCGCAGTATTCTTGAAGTTGAATACTTGTGTATGCCTTTTCGATAAATTGTCTTCTGAAAGCATTCATAAGGATTAGCCTGTCTTTATTTTTCATTCCTTGAGATCCCTGTGGGACATTTCATCCAGTTCTCTGAACTTACTTACACCTGACTCCACGATTGATCACAGGCCTTCTTCTCCGATTTACATCATCTCCTCTGCATGATCATTGGATGCTAAACCCATCACTTTCTATTCTGCTTCTACTCAAACAGTTCATGTACAATGTCAGTTGGATGCTTCTTCAGCGTTTCCCCCAATCTATCTATGTTCTCTTATGCATATTTATTAAATTTGGACAAGGCATTCAGAAGATAAATTTCGCGAGATGATATCAACATTTCGTAGTTTCTCTACAATCGCTTTACAACTAACATGGTCCACAATAATAAAGTAAAGTGCTTGACAATTACTCAGTTATATAAAACAAAAGTACAATTCTAATGACCAGTCAAATTTAGATAGGTCAAGTAGTCCATGGTAGGCGAAGATTGAAGTCTATTGTTGTTTTTTGTACACACAGTTTAGGCTGTATGTGATTAATCCAAAGTGCTTCCATCACCTTCAATAACCTTGAATTAGAGTTAGGTGATGAAATAATTGTGAAACAGTCATTAATATTGATTTTGTAACCTGACATTAAAATGTGCTTTGCAATGGATGATGCTGGATTTCTATTCAGATTAATTGCATTGAAATTTTCTATGTGTTTTAATGACCATTTTGGAACATGTTCTTTTCGACGGTATTGAAGCATTCTATTGGCTCTATCTATATGAGTGTCACCTCAACTGCAGGTGAACTTGTAAATACAGTTTGAAATAGAGTTCACAGAATTTCATCCTTTAATCGTAGGTATAGGGATAGAAAAGACAACTCAAAGACTTCCGTCAACCATCAAATACACATTCTACACCGCATCTCTTTCCCTGACATCTCGAACATTTTCCATCCCTGTACCTACAATTAAAGGACTAAATTCTGTAAACTCTACATCAAACTGTGTCTACAAGTTCACCTGCAGTTGCTGTGACACTTATGTAGATAGACTCAATAGAATGTTCTAAATATGACTGGTCATTATTATTGTACTTTTGTTTTATATAACTGAGTAATTGTCATGTATTTTATGTTATTTTTTATTTTGGACCATGTTAGTTGTAAAGCGATTGTAGAGAAACTACGGAAGGTTGATATCATCTCACGACATTTGTCTTCTGAATGCCTTATTCAAATTCATCAAATGGACTGACTGTATATTTGAAGACCAATAGTTTATTGGAGCGTTTTCTGTCAAAGTTCATTTTTGTCTATCTTTTCTCCTTACCTGATCTTCAGTATGAGACGAATGCAGGTGCTATGGCATTCATTAGTGCACATATCTGTAGTTTAGAAGAAGGTTACGCTGGCTAAGCGTAGGTATTAATCTTAATAATCTTACTGACATTATTTCCGCCAAACTTACTTCAGCAGTGTGCAGGTCTATAATCTATCCATGGGATATTCACCAGTTTTATTTTAGATACCGGTCACCTTGCAAACAAACACTTGAAAATCAATCCGCTTATCGTTAGTAAGTGACGACAGGATGGATTCTCTAGATTTATATTGAAAAGGCACGACTGGTGATGAAAGCTGACTAGAAATCGTATACACTTCACTGAAATGTTAATCCATTTGTTGCTTTCTTTTATTCCTTTTATTCCCAAGTAGAAGATAGACCTTCAAGCTTCAACTTTGAAGTCTCAACAGCGGTTGTGTTTATCTTTTATTGGGAGGGGTTGATAGCTGTACACTTATCCTTCCCTCTATGCCTGGTTTACTAACGACTAAGTAAGATATCAAGGTGTATCGGCAGGGGATAGAACCTCGGGCCACATGCATGGTTTTCGAGTATTCTACCCCTGAACCACCGAAAAACTTGATACATTTACAAAAATTCTGTTTCTGAAATAAAAAATCTAATTCTTGTTTTAATTTTTACAGAGTTGGTCGATTAGAATCTGAGTCAGGAGTTGATATTGGATTAAGTGGTCCTCTTATTCGAAATGAACACTGTATATTCTATACTGATGGTGGTAAGTACCTAAATAAACAAAGTTTATGAACAATAGGTAAAATGTTTTGCTTTTTTCCAGAAAAGGGCGCATCAGCCTACTGCATGTTAAAACATGTGGTTGTATGTTTCAGAAGACTCGATTCAGGGTCATTCAGCCTAAGCAAGAGTTGATAACCGACTTCACCGTTGATTCTCACCAGAAGTGATGGATCGATTCAAAAGTCATTCCATTCAAACCTAAGCATTTTGAAGCTGACTCAGGTTTTGTACTCCAACTACCCATTTACAAGTCGTAGATGTCTGTTTGCTTGAAAAGGAATATGGTCATTAGTAACTTTATATTTGAGTAGAGGATTTCATGATTGAAACTAATAATTCATGGATAATCCCCACCCAGACATTAATGAAAACAAAACACGTAGTTCAGCGAAGAGTCTCTTTTCGGCGGCGAATTCATTTTCTTAGCTGTACAATCGCGAATATATATGTGTTATTTCGTATGTATGTGTACATTGAGTTTGTCAAACAAAAATACAATTGGCTATGGTTATTTTAACTAAACAGGTGAAGATTGGTAATTGGAGTAACGTAATATAAAATCAGTCAAGAAAATTGGGTGTTAATGAAATTAGGGTAGTAACAAAGGTGACGAGTTGTCATAAATAGTTGTTTTACGAGTTGATCACGAATTGATATCAATTAGAGAATTATTGTAAACCAACCAGGGAGTACTGGACAGCTGCTGTTTCATCCTAGTTTGGGAATCATCGGCAGTACGCACCCACTGGGATTCGAACCCAGGACCTTCCAGTTACAAGGCAAGCTCGTATACCATTGAGCCACTGGAACCTGATTCAATGGCTCATGAATTCTAACTTCTACCAATAAATAGTTGTTAAAAAGAAGTTATGTAATAATATGAATAGTTTGATGAGTGAGTTTTACTCAAGATACACATAGGAAAAAGTAGAGAATACGAAATTACGTAAGAATTCTAAATGAATACAAGAATTATAAGCAATTAAAGAGACAGGCAAACAAACAAAATTAAGTCATTGAAATCAACAAAGTTGCTTCCATGAGAGTAGAAGTGGTTGAGTAATTCTCTTTTGTATGCACACTTCCGGTTTTTCTATGTGAATGGCCAGAGCTTCAGCGATACAAAGAAGACGAAACCGTATTGCCTTTGGTAGGTTATTCTTGTATCGATGAAGCTCTGGCCATTCACACAGAAAAACGGGGGCATTGCATACAAAAGAGAATTATTCAACCACTTTCACTGTTATGGTAACAACTTTGTTGATTTCGATGACTTAATTTTGTTTGTTCGCCTGTTCTTTAATTGCTTATAATTCTTGTATTCATTTAGAATTCTTACGTAATTTCGACCTTGCTACTCTGTTCCTATGTGTATCTTGAGTAAAACTCACTCATCAAACTATTCATATCATTACATAACTTCTTTTTAGCAACTGTTGTACTACCCTAATTTCATTAACATCTAATTTCCCTGACTGATTTTGTATTACATAACTCCAATTACCAATCTTCACCTGTTTAGTTAAAACAACCATAACCAATTGTATTTTTGTTTGACAAATTGCTATTGAGTGAGAATAAAGGTAGTTGAGTGTCAATTTAACAAGTGTGAAGAGGGTGTGAAATGTACAGAAGGAGCATATGAGAGTGATAATAGTGAATTGATTATTAAAGCAAATGCAAACTAAAAGTAAAATTAATAAAGAAAGGAAAAAATCAAAATTTTTTACAGGTAACGACTAGTGAAGAGGTTAAGACCAAGGTAGAATAAGAGACTGGACAAACGTTTTCTGTATACAGAATTCATGGCTGTATTGACGAATTGCCAGCGCCTCCACCATACACAAAAGCCCTTTGTACCATTTGGCTTCACTTTGGAGATGATAGAAGACTGTGGTGGAGCTACGTGGTCTGAGTTCACCAAATGCTCGAGAATTGAGCTAGTAATAATAATAGACCAATAATAGACCACTATATATTTCCTTGACAAACTTAATGTACACATACATACAAAATAACACAAATATATTTGCAGTTGTACAGCTGAGAAAATGAATTCGCCGCCGAAAAGAGACTCTTTGCTGAAACTAATAAGCAAATCCGCATAGAATGAAATTTACTTACTGCATTTCTTCGATCTCAATGAATAGTGCTAATTTAACTCTAACTGAACTTTTTAAAATTCATTCTTCTGTATTCAAAGCATACTCCTCTAAATTTTTTTTAGAGATGCAGTTAGTAATTCTAATAGGAAAATTTTCACCCTCAATCATCTTCATTTTCCACTCTTGAATGAAATAACATCTTGAACATTGAAACTTAATGAAGCGTTCATTGAGCATTCAACCTATTTGTTTTACTGGCTTGTTTTTATGAGGATACCGAACAGAAGAAAGAAACTGTATTCGAATAGGGCATAGAAGAGCATACTGCCTCCTGGATAATTATATTACAACGCACAATAGTAAAAAGTGACTGATTCTAATTTCTTTTATCGCTAAATAAGTTGTCTGCCTCATTGAGTTTGACGTCATCAAATAAATTTCCAAATTTGTCTTTTATTATTATTTCTTAGCTGTGGTAGAATTTGAACCACTTGAAGAAGCTGAATGCTATGTGAATGGAAGTTTAATTACAAAACGTATTCAACTTCAAACAGGTGCTCGTGTAATTCTAGGCAAAAGTCATGTATTTCGTTTCAATCATCCAATACAAAGTAAGTTTTACTCATAATTGCATTTGTAAGAAAATCTGTACTGAGTCAGGTGTCTAATTGTAAACGTTGTTCTTATAAAAGACTCGATCAGGTACAAAAGTGATTTGTTAAGGAAAATAGAGGCGGAGAAATATGGTAACAGTCAAACGTTTTATAAAATATGTCATGAATTCACGCACTGCATCAGTTATTCCTTTTTACTAATTTACGAAGACAAGATGCAATTTGACTGTGAATTGAGTAACTGACTTTTGCGATCACTTCGTATTTTTATCTGAATACTATTCAAAATCAAAGTACCTGACAGTCGTAACATTTGAAAAATAAAGTATCTTCAGCCCAGATCTTGTCTGAACCAACATCAGTTAGAAGGTTATGGAAAAGCATGGAGGATTACAGAGCTGCTACGTTCGACTCTCAAGCTCTTCATTAGTGTGCACACATGACTTCACCAGGGATCGAGGTAAGGACTCTCAGATAATGTGGTCAACTGGTTGAGAAATCACCGTATTCCATCTCACCGGTTGAATGGTCAAAGGACTGTCCTTGTAACTTGATGATTCTGGGACCGTCCCATTGTGGATCCATGTGCTCATACTGCTGAAGAATCCCAAACTGGGACGATATAGCTGTTCACTGCTCCTTAGTTTTCAGTGGCTCTCTAGCCGAAGTTAGTTTATGACAAAATCTCCTATGGGAACAAGTCAAAAGTTTCACAAAAGCTCAAAACCTGAATAAGCATTATTAGATGAAATGCAGTGAAGATGAAATCCTTCAAAACAATTGTAGACAGGCCACTGTAATTCAAGTTCAACATTCAGAAACTGAAGGACTAAACTACAAAGGATGCCTTCACTATAGATCAGATCAGGGCAAATTTGGATATACTACGTGGCATCACTGACGAAACCTGTGTGAAAGAATATTGGAACTAACTCTCTGAAGGTGATTTTCAAGGAAACGTGTAAAACTGTTCTAGGAAGAAAGAAGGGGCAAGACAAGGAATGGCTCTCAATGGACAACTATCTGGAAGCTGATTGAGGAGGATGATGGTAAAAGAGAAGATGACTCAATGCAAAGATGAGCAACAGAAGGAAAAGCTGAATTCAGTGTACGCTGCACTGAATAAAGCAGTAAAGAAGAGTGCTAGGAGAGACAAAAGACAATTCCATCACACACTACCGGGCAACTGAAGCAGAACAAGTCACAGTCAGAAGAGAGCTCAGAACATTATATCAGATATCCAGGTCTCTGTCTGGGAAGAGATCAACCCTGATGATGAAACCAGATTACCAAGGAGGAGAAACCAATAAAATAATGAGCTGATCACTTTAAAGGACTCTTGAATCGACCATCACCTACAACTCGCCCACAAATACCACCAACAGCACGCACAGAACCGCCTACCAGTGGACACCACTGCCCTAACGAAAGAAGAAATCCTGAATGGGATCAAGCTAATGAACACCAACCTGAAAGGCAGCAGGACTAGATGTAATTCCCCCGAAGCACTGACAGCCTAACCAGAGATTGCGGCAGATACGCTTGCGCCATTACTGCAAAAAGATTGGAAAGAAGGAAAGGTGCCTACTGATTAGAAGAAAGGCTGGCTACCTTGTCAAGCTGCCAAAGAAGGGTGGCTTCAAGAACGGGAGTGGAATGATGCTCTTGTTCACGTCAAGTAACATACTAAGTCGCATCACCCTGGACAGAATAATGGATGCACTGGACACAGAACTCCACTAACCCCACCGGAACAAGCTGCATTCAGGGTAGGCAAATCATATGCTGATCAAATTGCAACTCTACGCATCATCATCACAGAACAAAGCATAGAATGGCAGTCAAACCTCTACATCAACTTCATTCACTTCGAAACGGCCTTGTACAGATCACGTTGACCATGAAGTAATCTGGAAACTACTTCAACATTATTGAACGCCCCAAATCTTTATCAACCTCATTCAACAGCTGGCTATATGACAATGCCAAGTGCCCGGTGATCCACAACGGGGTACTAAGCAAGGCTGTCGAATTAAATACAGGAGTAAGACAAGCCAGCTGCCTATTATCACCGATGATATTCTTAATTGTGGTGGACTGGTTTATGCATCAGACTGTGCTTGGAAGTGAGAAAAGAGAAATACTTTGGAGCGATATGAAGACTCTAGAAGATCTGGATTTCGCGTGTGGATGATTTATGTCTAATGTCACACAAACTCGAAGACTTGCAAGAGAAAACCAGCAAACTGGCTGAAGAGGCTGGCAGCGAAGACAGGACAGCAGGTAAACATAGAGAAGACGGAGGTGATGAAGATAACCAACGGACGGTAACAACAACAACAACAACCAGCACCAATCACCATAAAAGGGAGAGATTGAACAGGAAACACAGTTTCAACTACAAGCGACATTTCGGATGAGGATGTCGAAGTCAGTCAGAATTGAGAAGGAAAGATACGCCTTCATGAATCCGAAATCGGTTTGGAAATCTCTTGCACTCAGCCAGCATAAAGAACGAGATTCAGGTTTTTGACATAAACGTTAAGTCAGTCACTGCTTCGGAAACTTGGTGAACGTGTCATGAAAAGCATTTCCAACAGGCTGTAGACTTTTATCAACACCTGCCTTCGTTGGATTTCGAAAACAAAATGGTCAGGCCAGAAATAATTAGCAACACGAATCTGTGGTGAAAAACTAACCTCGCTGGGGAGACCGTCAAATAGCATCGCGTGGAACCCGAATAGGAAGCAACGAGTTCGGCATGTATCCAAGCATGACATGGAGGAGGTCGTTTGAGGAGGAAGTGAGAGTATATAGGCAACTGTGCGGCCAGATGAAAAGGACTGCAAGGAACAGGAGAAAGTGGGAATGTGCTGTTGGAGACCTATTTTGTACCAAGAATCCAACGAAATAGTAATGATAATATGGTGGATCAATTTCTTCTGTAACCCAGATTTCCATTTCTCTCTTTCAATCATTACCCATTATAAGCCAAGGAATATTTCACATAGTCGCATTATCGGTATATCAATAAATTGTTCATACTGGATCTTCAAACTTTAGTCAATATATTGGCCACTATATGGGGAAATTCGTTATTTGCAAACAGTTTCTCTTCCCTGTTACTATGGCTATTTATATTCAAACGTAAACATTTTCTCTAATAGTGCTGGTATACGTTAACAAATAGATTATTTTGTGCATTTAAAGGGATTACTGTTTTTACGAATATGTTGACATTGTTGCTTTATTCGTATGAATTTAACTAATAATTACTAATGTAAATAATTGTATGTTTAAATGTTCTATTTTTAGGTCGGGAGAAAAAACAAGGTCTAACTGATATGTGCGGTAAGCGGAAAGTGTTTTTTCCCTGACTGTTAGTTTAATAAACATTAAATGTTTTTATGAAAGATAGTGAATAGACCGGTAGATTCAGGCGAGTGAATGTGTGAGGGGAAAAATGCCTTAAACTACATACTACTGGCTGAGTAGCAGTATACTACTTAAATCAAACAGTAGTGCTGGTTAGCTAAACAAAAGTGATCTTAACACCGAACGTTTATTTCGCTCATGCAGGGCCGAGCTCATGAATGCTTTACCCGGCATGACTCAAATGAGAGAACTGAACCACTTCGATGTTCTTGATTTCTAGCTGCTGCTATGGACTGATTCGACCCTCAGAGACTAGTCACACCAGATAAACTACGGGTGAGCTAAACCCTAAACAAGCGAAACTGTCATTCAGTGATCAGATCACTTCGATTTGGGCAGTAAGCACTACTGTTTGATGTCAGTGGGTACAAATACTCATCTCAGTCAGTCAGTAATATATAATTTTACGTAAATATGCTTGTTTTCATGGTTACCATTTATGATGCCAAGCAGATCATATACGGTGGTATATCTACACTTAGTAGGTACTAAATAATAATGTCTTCAGATAAAAACATTTGTTCCTTGATTGATGCTGACGAGTAGTGGCATCTGTGAGTCCTAAGCTGGATGTAATTTCATCCTGGTGAGTGTCTTCGTCATCATCAGGAATTGTACCGAACATTCATCGACTGGGATCAATGGTCTACCCGTAGATTCCTATGGTAGTTAGTACTAATCTAATACCAGTTAATTTTGCTTTCATTCTGTCAAAGTTAATCAATTACATTTTCCTACTTCATGAAGCTTCTATCAAACGCTCTATGAAGTCAGTTCCTTATATTCCTTCTGTACAGGAAAGAAGCTCGAATTCGTTTGTGAGCAATATGGAGTATTTTCAACTTTCCAGGGATTGTTAATTTTCAGGTCAACATTTCATAAGTTACTGTCATGTCACTCGGCTTAGTAGTTACATCTCAATCCAATTCAACGGCCAAATATGTGAAAAATTGAAGGAACACTCATGGGATTGCCCATATCAGTTTTGATTGTGGAAGTAGTAATACAAAGACTCAAAAACATAGTCCTACCAAAGATCAAACCAAAAATTTGGATACCTTGTGTATATGATACATTCGTAGTAGTCGAATGAAACGAGCTCGACAAAACTCACAACTTAATAAGCAGCGTTTTCAACGACATCAAATTCATAAGAGAAAAGGAATCCGAAAACAAATTCCCATTTTTTGGACGTCTTAGTCAAGCGAAAAACCACATGAAAGTAAGAAACGCAGTTTTATAGAAAATCAACTCACACAGACAAAATACTCAATTACAACAGCAACAATCCAATAACACCCCTTTAATGAGTTGCATACAAACACTATTCAAGAGGGCCAGGACTCATTGCAGCAATCCTACCTTAAGGAAAATTGAAGAAAGATATCTCATGGACGTCTTCCAAAAGAATGGATATCTACGAAATTTCACCAAAAGACATCTACCTCCAAGCCAAAATACCAAATCAAAGGCGCACAAGGAAAGCACAAAGAAAATCGCCCTGCCATATATAAAGGACATCTCAGAAATCGCTTCAAGACTCTTCAAACCTTTAGGAACTGATGTCGCACACAAACCAGCAAAATCACTTCATTCAGCTGGCTTTATGTCAGCCAAAAGACTCAAGAGTGAAAGAAGATAAAGTCAACATCATCTACAAAATAAACTGTAACGACTGCAAAAAACACTACTTTGGCCAAAGTGGACGTACCATTCGTCTTTGTATCCATGAACATAAACTAGTCGTTTATTAAGACATGACATCCACTCCTTCATATCGCGTCACTGCATACAGACAACCACACATATCAGTTTGACTGGGACAACCAGCATTCAGATATTAGACAGAGGAAACACCAAGAATGATGGAGAATTTTTAGAAGGCTGCCTGGTACTCCAGTGAATCGTCAGTCAGTAGACACATCGAAATAGCCAAAATTTACCAGCCGATAAGAAGGAAATCTCGCACACAAAAGGTCAAACTTCAGGTTAAGGAAACAATCAACACCAATACCAATACAAGTAGCCTGAAGAGTGTGAAAACACACAAAAACAACCTATCACGACGTTCAGGGTGACCCACCAGGAGAGATGACTAATAAACTCGTGAAGAAATCTAAAAGCTAACTTCAAATTGAAGTATGCTCTGAAGATGTTACCAAGTAGGGCAATGAAAGCTTCACAAATCAACCATCCAGCTCAGAGAACACAGCTATATCATAATTACCCACCTGAGCTACAATTCTTCTCCATTATATCTACATTGTAATTGCAACTGGCAGATTCCAATTGACATATCCTTAAGTCTAAACAACTGAACTGGTTATTGCCGTCTAGTGTTTAATTTACTCTTTAAACGCAGCTATCGTCTTTCGAACTGAATAGTTTCTGATAAAAGCTAATTGTCTTCAATATTCACGACGTGAAATTGTTTTTAATACAACAGTAATAAAGGTTTGGGTCTTTCTATGATCACTACCTTTTCTAATGGAAAATGCATGCCTTCTTTAAGTGAAGTAGAGTCTATAAATGCAAAGAAACACATTCTAGTAACTGTTCTTAGAGAAAAGCTTATAAAAGTGATGATTATGTTTGTCTAAATAATTCATCCCTTTTTCTAAACTCTGATTATAAAAACTTTACAGCAAGTGCTACAGAACCGATCGATTGGAATTATGCTATTAGTGAACTATTAGAGAAACAGGGTGTTGATTTAAGAAAAGAAGTTGAGGATATTCTTATTCAATTAGAAGAACAATATCGTCGTGAGAAAGAACAATCAGATCTGTTGTTTGCAGAACAGAGAAAAGTAAGTCAGTTTCTTATTATTATTCCCTTGGTTTCAGAGTGGAATATCAGGCTTCGTCAGTACATCTCCTTTTTATGCTATTTTTCTGCAGTCCTTGTTAGCTGGCTTCACGATTACTTATTAGCTTTCATCTCCTCACATGATGTTCTTCATATCACCCGAGGACGTCCAAGTCATCGTTTCTTATTCATGTCCCACTCGAGGGTCTGGTGCGCGACGTCACTCAGAGGTCTTCTCAGAGTATGTCTGATTCATCTCCATTTTCTCTATCATATTTGTTGGGCAATACGTTGTTGGTTGATTCCCTCACAGGGCTGATTGTTGAGAATCCTCTCTGGAGCTAGCGAAGACAGCTGTTGAGGAAAGTCTGCAACCTATTACTTACAAAGCACTTTTCAAGTCCGTGCACAGTTTAGTTGGAGATATCATTTACTGTGTAACTACGCCTCACAACTCTTACAGATGGAAGCCTAGAATTCGAATGTTTGTTATCTGATATATAACAGTTTGTAGCGCCAAAAGCAGTAGCCGGGAATTGAAACTTCTGAGGACTTTTGTAGAAGACTAAAGCTTGCGATCACTGAATTTTTTAAAACAAGCAATAAAGGTTAATAAAGCAGGATTTAATGAATTCATTTAATTTCTGTAGAACTCGTCATCTGAATAGTCTACATACACGGATATATATATATACTTTTTAAATTACTTTGGGAGATATAAAACTGATAAGTAAACAAACTACATTGAATTAGTCATGCAGAAAGACAGGTGCGAACGTTTTCCAGGTCATGTTCAAATAGATAAGGGGGAAGGCAGTATGAGAGATTAAAATTAAGATAAAATGCATTACGCTTACATCACTTAGATAAACAATTAGTCATTAGAGAATATAACAAGAATTGCAAACAGAGTAATATCAATAGTAATAGTTATAATAATAATAATAATAGTAGATAATTATGTTGAAGTGAGTTAAGATAACGCTACTGATAAAGGATAGTTTTAAATGAATCAAGAATAATAATAATAAAAATAATAATAATAAGAGGTAGAATAAGTAAAACGTATTACCATGGTAGATTCAGAGTGACGACCATCTCCTTTTGTACACAGAGACCTGGTTTATAAACTCGAATTGCACAAGCCTCTGCAATTGCAAGCATCTTCCTGTTTCTTTGTCTGCTGACAATAGTGAATGACTTGACCGCGTCGATATCATGTCCATAGTCCACAAGATGTTTTGTTATTGAGGTTTCTGGCACTTTGCACTCAGTTGTTTTCAACCATTTTGGCAAATGCTCCATCATGCGAGTAAACAATCGCCTTTCTGTACGACCTATGTATTTGCTTCCACAAACACACTCAAATTGATATACGCAGTTTGAAGTGTCGAGGATTGGCGACTGGTCTTTCCCAGATTGTTGAAGCACTCGCTTAGTGGTGTTAAGGATAACAAGTTTTGCAGCATAATAAGTTCTCTTGATGGCTTTATCGAGTCTTCGTTTGACTACTTCCTGTACATCATCTCCTTTGAATGGCAAACTGATATAGACAGATTTCTTCGGAACTGTTTGGATTGTTTTGCAAGGGCTAATTTTTTTAGATTTACTCTGGTTGTTCCTGATAACCTTATCAGTTTTGACGATAACTTCAGATCAGTGATTCTTATTATCCCATTGTTCCACAAAACGATGGAACCTGAAGAGTGTGGAAGAACTCACTGCCTCCTAGTAAGATGCTGTTATTATCACAATTTGTTTTAAGTCGGTTTTGATTTTCCCGTTGACTTGAACAAGTAAAAACTGATTCCCGTTGCACAACAGGGAGATATAGTACCCCAAGACTTCTAGTCGATGATTTTATGGCGTTTGGAACGAAAGGGTACTGGTTTCGTGTTTCACTGGGGACACCGCCTACTGAAGATTGTAGGTGCATCCAGGTGATGAGTCCGAAATAGGACAAGATATGCATCTTGGATTCCAGTGCTAGTCACCAGCCAACAAATTACTTCATGATGTTATCGTGTTCACTACAAAGTCTGGAAGCTTAGTTTCTTTTCTCTCTAGCAGGGGAAGACTTTTAACTCCCCAAATAAACTAATTTCTTTTTTTTCTTCTGGTTTTAAGGAATTATTTAGCTAGTATCAAGGCTTGCGGTAAACAGACAAGCGCATATTTTCGAAAAATTTAAGCCTCAGATCATTCCACTGTTACATTTTTACACAATTTAACTTATAATCTCAGTTGACTTTCAGTCATATTTCCGTTTCACTAAAAGTCATAATAATTGTAAACAACTTATCTATGTATTTCAAGCGTTAATACCAGCAGTGATCCTTGAAATTTGAATGTTTAATTGCATCAGATTCCTACTTATTATTTTGTTTTGTTAAATAAGGTATGTGTGTATATGTAAATTTTTTTAACAGGAATATGAAGGCCGTATACAAAGTTTACAAGAACAAGTTGAACGTCAATCTATGCTGGGATCAATGCTGCAAGAAGATGTAATACCGGAAGAGCAACATGATGAAGCGTTAAGTAGGTTATTAAGTGATATATATAGTGGTATTTGTGGAGAATATAATTTACAGGGCAAAGTGAATACGTATGTAGATATGTATATTGGTGTGTATGTGTTTGAAATAATAATGAAGGAAATTTGTACCTGAGGTGGATGTTTTTGGGTTTAGTTCAATTGCGAAGCTTTCATTATCCTTCTAGGCGACATCTTTAGCAGTTCCATATTAGTTTGCTTATTAGATATATCACACAGTGAAACAGTATTATTTACTGGATGACACAATTTCGAACACAATTTATTATCGTTCATTATCATTTCATCAATTATAATCACACGACTTCGAAACTTGAGTTTTATAGTTTTCTTTATTTTTTCCTCTTTGTCGTAGGGTTGATAGAATTTTCCAGATATCCGTCTGGACAGGTGTTGAATCATTCCTATGACACGTGTTTGCAGTTGATTCGATAAAAAAAGCTTCCATTATCAATCTCTTCCTCCACCCTGCTGTTACATTAGACTTTAAAACTGTCATCTTATCCTGTCCATCCTATTGTATGGTTGTGTGTAATTGCATGTAGTGAGTAGTATAGCTGAACTATTCTCTAGATTTCTTATCTCATTCGGGTCAACTAATCTAGATTTTACGGCTAGCTTTTTATGCTCGGCTAGTCTGACTGCACCTGTTCTACTACTTTGACCTATGTATATGACCTAACAGTCATTGCAGACAGGGTATTAGATAAACTAAATTGTTTTGTTTCACTGGCTCTACAGGATCCTTTAACCGACAAAGCTTGTTTCTAATTGAGTTTGTGGGTTTGAATGCCAGTTTTATTCCTGCCTTGTTAAGAATTCTGCGTAAGGTTTCCGAGGTTCCTTCCTTGTATGGAATTACTACTGATAATTTAGACTCCTTATTGTTGGTGTTGTCATTATCTTGCGCATGTTTCACATGCATGTCATCATTAATATTACTATTATCATTATTCATATAGTCTTTATCAATACTATCATTATTTATTTCATTTTTGTATTTACATTTCCCTACATACTTTCTGACTAATTCATCAGGGTAATTATTAAGCTTCTCTTATATGCCTCACATTCCATCTAAGATTTTCCTGGGTACTACTTAGTTTTTGTGCTCCAATCCTATCTTCAACGACACAGGATGGGATGATCGGAAATCCAAATATATGTTTGAATGTGTGGGTTTCTCGTGAACACTAGTGTGTGTTTAACTTTCCATCTTCTTTCATCTTTACACGCTACAATCTAACATTGGTAGCTCTCCTTCATGACTTTCCAATTCATAAGTGAATTGAATTGCTCCCACCTTTGAGTTAATGTGTTTGAAAAATCTATCTATTTCCTGTGTTCTAAGTATAGTGAATGTGTCATCTACATACCTCCACCATACTTTTGGGGTGGGGCTGAACGCTTCAATCGCTGTTTTCACACCTGTCCATGAATTTATCTGCCTCAACGGTGAATATTGGTGACCTCGAAGAAACTCGTTCAGTTTGTTTGTATATTTATCCCTGGATTATAATTGATATGAATATGAACAATAAAACATTTTGTTCGAAACATCATCCGGTAAATAACGCTGTCTCACTGTGTGATGTATCTAATAAAGAAACGATGCATGGAGTTACTTACTACCACAGTGCCCAAGTTGTACACATATATTGACATCTTTAGCGGTTACTTCAATTGAAGTGGTCATCTCGGAATGATTTATGAATCGTATAACTGTGTCTGCTTATATCCTTGACCATTATTGGTTGCCTCGACCGATTTTTCTTATCTAGCAAGGATATCGACACCAATAGGGGATTTACACAAGAATAGGAGAAATTCTGAAGACGACAATCAATAATAGTCAAGACTCTCATTCACACAGAATTCCAAAATAATCACTGATGATGTTGTCTGGAAGGACTATGAAACGTTCTCAATTAAGCTAGATAGCTCAGAGAGAGAAAGCAGTCACATCAGAAAATTGGCGTAATATGATTTTCGTGCACTTAAGCATATTAATTATTAGAAATTTCTCCTCAAAATGCATTTAGAACATATTTGGTTTTTCATTTTTACGGAAATTTATTCTGCTTTTATGTAATAATTAGATGAGTGTAAATGGGGAGATCGTGAATACGAATTAGCTCGATGGGCCTTCAATAAATGGATCAATCATCAGTTTACATCACTGCGGGTAATTCAATACATTCATTTTTTTAAATATATAAAACTGAACGTCTTTATTATGTTATTTATTACTTTTCGTAAGTGAAATTCACTGGAATACAGGCCTTCAAGCCTGAGCTTTCGGTGGCGGTAGTGTTCAATATTTTATGGGGTGAGGTTGCTAGCCTCACTTTCAATCTCTATTCATATCCAACTGCACTTACTCGCTGTGCGACGTTAAGGAGTGCGTAGGCTGTGAACCGAACCCAGGACCACTTGCGTGGTAGGCGAATATCCTACCACAGGACCACTAACTTACAGTGAAGGTCACTCCGTTCGCTGTAGATCTGCCTGCCTCATTGTCCATAGAGAGCCTTCAGTATAATACCTTCCCTCTTTCTAAAATACAAGATCCCTGTCTCCTAATTCTTAAAGGAAACAAACGATTCATGAATCATAAATTTGCTAGCTAACGGTGCAAAAGTTAAATCATGGGAACTATCAGTGCATTCAAATAGAATGCTTTTAATCACTTCCCTGTGACGAGTATTCACTGACATTACACAGTGAGAAATTAAAAGTAAAAATGCATATTCTAGTAGACTTTGACAGCGTTCAGTGCAGTTGAATTAAGTGTTCAGGATTAGTTCCTGTGATTTTGGTTCTTAAAACTCGTAAGCTTTTTCTTCGTAAAGGCAGTCTGACTGTTCATGCTACAGTTTGTGCTTGACAATTCATGTTTTGCAGCAGTTGTAATGTAACTGGGCAACATTTCAAAAGCAAACTTGGACGTAGCACTTTAATCTGCATAATCTTAGCACATCCTCAGCTCTAAAGCGACTCATCTGTTTCAGAGTAGCGCATATATATAATATAAGGTTTCAACAACACATCTCTTTTTTATCCATTTCTCTGTAGTCACTTTTAGCCGGATCCAAGATTGCCCATAAGCTGTCATCCACCCTTCACACAATCTCCTCCATGTAACTCTCAGAAGCCCAACCTGTAGTTTCCCCTTACAGTCTCACTCGAGTGGTGACCTGGTGCGTGGTTTCACTTAGCGATCTCCTCAGTATGTCCTCGATGCATCTCCGTTTCCTTCAGCATATTTCTTAGGCAATGGGTTGTTGGCTGTTTTGCTACAGGAGTTCTTTGTTGCCTTACAAGCCATCCCTTAATCTGGAAAAAGAATGAAAGTTGGGTATGGTTCTAGCGACCCTACTCTGAAAAACCAGTTCAGTTGCTACAGAAACTTCAATGCACGGAAAACATATAAGAATTATATATAGGCCTCGCGGTTGGTTAGGTTTGTGTTGCTGTCGAATTTTGTCATAAGCTAACAGCTGCTTCGTCCTAGTTTTCCGCTTTTTAATCGTTTGCAGCATTAAGGATCAAATCTAGTGCTTTCGGTTCCCGAGTTCAGTACCTTCACCACTCACCTAATTGAATAAAACCAAATTGATTAAAAATACCCATTAAAATTTTCAAAAGAATGGATACTGAACTAAGAGTACTCTTTTCGATAAATTCATCATCAGGTTCTACAATTATATATACATTATAATGAATGAATGAATTAGTGTTATGAACGACATTAATGCTTAAATAACATCGAATCAATAATATTGATAGATTACAGCTGAATAGCATCAACATAAAATAAGCTGAATGTCAGCTGAATGTCGTGCTCGAGAACATATCCCACTATGGCTAAGTAAAGGTGTAGTTAAAACTATTAACAGCTCGATATTAGACCATCTGGTGCAAACCGGTCACAAAGCCAGCCAGCGTGGAAGAATCCTTCTCTATAGTGTACTGGGTGCCTAACAAATTACCACAATCATCGAAGCACCGCATGCTCCAAACAGCAGAGGCTATTGCAATTCGCCTCAAACAACCAGTGCTCTGTTTTCAAAAGAAACAAGTCCAGCCCCTACTACTGCCCTCACTAGCCTTCAGTAGAAACTATAAACTCATGAATTTGTAATATTATCTCTCCTAATTCTTATGGCATTCAGCTTATCTCATGTTGATGCTAATGGGCTGTAATCTATATTGTTATTGATTCGATATTATTTAAACATTAATATTCTTCATAACACTAATTCATTCATTCACTATAATGTATATGTAACTGTAGAGCCTGATGATGAAGTTATCGAAAAGAGTTCTCTTTGTTCCGTGTCTATTCTTTTGAAACCAAATTCTCCATGAATTCTACCTAAAAACCTGATCATTACTCTTTCTAACATTCTTTTTTTAACATCTGGGTATTTGATTAAACGTGCTACAATTTACTTGTTGTCTTATAATTACCTAATTCGAATGCATTCTATGCCATCTGTTTTAATCTTGTAAACTGTGTCAAATGAGTTTGGATTTGCAGTTTTCAAGTCGAACTTGATATATATAAATATATGCATGCTAAAACTGTTTTTTAACCCACTGATTTCTCTTTCTCCTAAATAATTTAGGATCAGTTGTGGGAAAATGCTGTTTACTTGAAAGAAGCGAATGCACTAAGTGTAGAACTGAATAAAAAAGTAAGTGAAGTTTTGTATTTTTCTAACTGTAATATACACGCAAAGTTAAATTTAATCTTGAAATAATGCAAGTTAGAGAAGCATCGAAAACCAGGGAGTACCGGTCTGATGTTTCACTCCACTTTGGAACAATTCATCTGTTCACAGCCGTTACCCCATTAAGGATAGAAACCTGATCCTACAGTCTATGTAGCAAGCAGGTCACTAGGTATTGAATCTGAAGGCCCATGAATTTTTGCCCCTAGATATCAGGGCGTCTCTATACAGTGGCATCAGTACGTGCCCTCACAAATGACTTCATGGATCCTAACACTTACAAGTTCTCATCCGAACCCCAGAAAATCCATCCCATAGTCAGTCAATAATGAGCAGTAAATTAATTTTCAAGAGATGGTTAGCAGGAATTCGATTCACTTCCAGTTAGAACACATAGGAAAAATGCTAAGCAATAACTAGGGCAACTGGCTCTCCAGCACTCTAGAAGAAGCTGGGGAGTGTAGTACAGTATATGATCATAACTTGAATAGCTTGATGGCATGACATATTCGAAACCCTTAGGGCAGAAATCGTGTTAAATTTTGTAGGAGTCAGTACATATCGAAACCATTTCAGGACTTCTTAGTAACTTCATCAATTCAGAGAGAATATGATAGAAGCAAGTAGCATAGAGAAAACAGAGGCGATGAAGATTCCTGGCCAACACTAACAGCAACAACAACAGACAACAATCAGCATAAATGGAAGGAACCTGAAAGAAACAACCTCCTTCACCTACCTAACTGGGAAGCATCGTTTCAACTACAGGCGGAACTGACGAGGATATCAAAGCAAGAATCGGAAAAGCAAGACAAGCTTTCACTACTGTCAAGTCTGTTTGGCGATCAACAGCACTCAGCATGAAAAATAAGATCCGGATTTTCAACTCCAATGTGAAGTTAGTGCTACTCTCTACGGATCAGAGACTTGGCGCATCATGAAGAGTACTTCGAACAAACTGCAGACCTTCATCAACAGCTGTCTTCGCTCAATACTACTCAAGATCAGATGGCCGGCCAGAAAAATCAGCAATAGAGAGGGATCTCTGGGAGCGAACCAACCCAACAAGAACTAATTGTACAACAAATAAGCAGGAAGAAATGGAGGTGGATTGGCCATACTCTGAGAAAACAAACAATCAAGTGATATCACACTCCAGGCCATAGCTCGAGTGGAACCCGAGTGGGAAGCAAAGAGTTGGTCCTCCGTGGGTGATATGGAGGAGATCATGTGAAGAGGAGATGAAAGCATGTGGGCAGACGTGGAGCCAGGTGAAAACGTTGGCGGAGAACAGAACTCAATGGAGACGTACGGCTGAAGCCCTATGTTCCTCTAGGAATTAAAGGAAACAATAATAATAAGTAGTATTGCATTCATAAAAAGTACAAGCATGAACCGAAATCATTCAGGTGGTTACTACGACTAAGAACTACAGCACATCATGCACCAGATATTATGCAACATGCAATATTCACTTCTGTCTCATCTTCCATCGACTATAGTTTCTACTGCACGTGAAGAAACCCTGGTGTTTTCCTACTTTGTAATTATGTAAGTGGAAGCCTCTCCTTTTCGTATCACAGACATACCCTGGAAGGAGAAAATGGCTGAATGAATCGATATTATTGACAAAGTTTTAGCTAAAATTTAGTCTGGGTAGAATAATTATCATAATTCTGGGCAAATTTTCTACACGGTGTGCAGAATACTCTTTTTCAGGCTAAAGCTTTAAAGTTTCGGCAGCAGTGGCCTTACTATTTCTACCGGATGGGATTACTAGCCTCACTTCCAGTCTTTCCTTTTTACTGGCCGTACTACCGGCTTAGCAAGATTTAGGATTATGTCATACAGAGATCGAATCCCGGACTACCTGAGGCAAGGTTGGCTGGGCGTTCCACAACGAAGCCACTGCTGCTTGTGTAGAATTCTCAGAGTAGTTTGTTGATTAACATTTCCTCCTTATCTTGGGTCTTCATGTAAAATAGCAATTTATAGTATATTATGTAAAAGGGAAGACGTTCAGCGAAGAGACTCTTTTTGGTGAATTCATTCACATATCTGTACAGTCGCATTTATATACAATTATTTTTGTGTGTGTGTGCAAATGAGGTTTGTCAAGCTTAGATAATTAATTAGGTAATACAAGAATGAACTAATATAGAAACAAGGTTAATTAACCAGCAACTAAAGTAAGATTGAGTTAGTAAGTTAGATGACGTAATATAATTGACTAAAATGTTTCAACTTAGGTCAGAGTAGCAATAGAGGTAATTACAGGTAGAGACTAAGTAGAAGTGAAATTGAGCAAATAAGTTGGATGACGTAACGTAAATGACTAGAAATTGAGCGTTGGTCAAATCAGTAACAGGGGTAATGAGGTGTAGAAATTAAATCGGGTGGAGGTGGAGAACAAGAAAGTTGAAAATGTAAAATATTACAATTGAGAAGACAAAATAATACTAATGAAGAGACAGAGTTCGTTCAACCACTACACTTGCAATGGACATAATCTATCTTATTACCCGACAAGTAAATTCTACCTAATCTTCTTTTTTCTGTCTCTTCATTAGTATCATTTTGTCTTCTCAATTGTAATATTTTACATTTTCAACTTTCTTGTTCTCCACCTCCACCCGATTTAATTTCTACACCTCATTACCCCTGTTACTGATTTGACCAACGCTCAATTTCTAGTCATTTACGTTACGTCATCCAACTTATTTGCTCAATTTCACTTCTACTTAGTCTCCACCTGTAATAATAGTAATAATAATAATGATTTACTTTATTCCAAAAACAGTACTTGTGATACAGAATGGAATTTTCAGCATTAATCACAATATCTTGTATCTAATTTCCTCAAATTATAAATAAAAATTAGTCACACAGAAAAACCTTTCCACATTTACAATAGGGGTAATGTCAAAAATACATGCAGCATATAAAATGGAAATAATAATGATAAAAGCTAAGGTAACAACAATAATAATACAAGTGAAAATTGCCGTGAGCTTGTTTCACACAGTACTGTCGATGCGGTATACAAATCCTTGCATGATTAAAAATATTGAATATGATGTTCTGTTTACATGATATGGTGAGGGAAAAAACAAAGATTACAGCAGTCATAGAGATAAGTCGGTGTTTGCAGTTATGAAAGTGAAAACAAAGAATCAACAGGACCATAAATATAATAGAAATAATAAAGTAGAACTTGAAGGTATATGAAGATGGATGGAGGAGATTGTTTATTTACTAGATGAAAAAAGGTTAGTCAATTCTTGCCTGACGCTATTTTCATCACATAAAATACGTGCCAAGTATGGTATCATAGAATTTTTATACTTAGACGTTCGAGCATACAGTTTTATGAAGTTACTTCTTGTTCTACCTGAGGAGATGCAAGGTGAAAGCTGAGGGTAAAGTGGATGCTCCATGTCAGACAAAATCCCTTTAGCAAATTTACTGCACGAAGTCGAGTGCCTATCGACAACGACGTTAACTATGTGGTCCACTGGGACACCACTCATCCTACTGACAGTCTTCAGCATTCTACGAATTGTGACAAAGTCCTTTTTAAGCAAACCAGGAAAGAATAAGGGTGAACAATAAAGAAGAATAGGTAGGATGCAAGAGTTTATGAACTGTAAGAGGAGGGGTGCCTTAACTTCTTAATGTAAAATGTCAGGCGGAATATTTTACTGGAGATCGCTGAGACATGGGAAGACCAGGAGAGATCAGAAGAGAGAATAAGTCCAAGATACTTAATTTCTGATTTAGTTCCTATATCATTGTCATCAATCTTACAACTGTCATGAGAATCGACGGCTTCTTTTAACTGTCGTTTACATCTTAAGCTGAAATTAACAGTTTGACATTTAGAAGGATTCAGTTTAAGACCATTAGACTCAGACCATTTACTGACTCCCGACAGAAAGCTATTTATTTTGGTACAATCTAGCTGGGAGTTAACAGCCATTGAAACAGTTAAGTCATCAGCGTACTTCACAAAGTTTATTTCATCAGACCTCTGTTGCTACCCTAACCTAAGTTGAAATATTTCAGTCAATTTATATTACGTCATCTAACTTACTAACTCAATCTTACTTCAGCTGCTGGCTAATTAACCTTGTTTCTATATTAGTTCATTCTTGTATTACATGATCAATGTGCGTCGGTGGCACAGTGGTTAGGACTCTCGCCGACCATGCACGTGATCCGGGGTTCGATCCCCTGCCGACGCACACCTGATATCTATGGTTGGCCTGCAAAATTTGGACTACCGATATCGCATGCTGAAAATTCCATATCTGTACCAAAAAATACGGTGTGGAACCAAGCTGTAATCAAAAATCAAATCAAAAAAATGAAAACTTGACAAACCTCATACACACACACAAATAATTATATATAAACGCGATTGTACAGCTATGTGAATGAATTCGCTGAAAAAAGTCTCTTCGCTGAACGTCTTCTATTTTTCATATGACTCAATGGGGATTTTCAAGTATATTATGTGATGAAATAATATTCGATCTGATACACAAACCGATCCCTCAGGTTACATTTAATTTATCCCCTAAAAATGGGCACTGGTGTTGTAAAAGCCAAATTAAAAGTATGCGTGAGTACACTTTATGGCTCATGGACAATAAGAATTAGAGACGATGTGACACATAGTTAAATTAGTTTACTTAATATCACACACACACACACATTAACAGAGTAATAATATGAATAAGGCATTTAGAAGACAAATTTCGCGAGATGATATCAACATTTTGCAGTTTCTTTACAGCCGCTTTACAACTAACATGGTTAACAGTAATAAAATAAAGTTCATGACAATTACTCAGTTATATAAAACAAAAGTACATACTGATGACCAATCATATTTAAATAGGTCAAGTAGTCCAGGGTAGGCGAAGATTGAAGTCTATTGTTTTTTGTACACACAGTATAGG